TTGTTTTGTAATGCACTATTTGGTGATTTCTAGCCAGTCCACCTGGATGTGTAAACTTCGATTTCGAACGAGGAAATCTTTACGGATGGACAAAGTCAGGTACTGCGTTTAATTACCAGCCAACGTATGGCGACAACCCCAAGGCTCGTAGAAGTCAGCCCGCAAGGCAACAAGGGAAATATTGGATTGGCACATATGAGAAGCGCCCCAATCCTCGGAGCCGAGCGGGTGCTATACAAGGGGATCGCCCTAGGGGGACATTGAGTTCTACCCGGTTCCGTATCGTAGGGAGTTACATTTATTTCCGGATTGGCGGAGGTTGCAATATTAATTATGCCAGGGCGGAGCTTGTCATTGATGGGCGAGGAGTTGTACTTCGTACCACAGGTCAGTTTACTCACGTGCTTCACGTCTACTTCAAAAAACTAGAACCCATTTTACCATTCGCTGCTTAGCATTTTCCAGTGTGGGCTCGATTTTCGCCGTTATCTGGAGTCCAGTCTTCTATCCTCCCGAAAAGGTCACTTCGGGGATGAGCGCAGGCTCAATTTCTGAATAGTGGTTGGTAATCGACCTCATCCCAGTGTATCTCAAGCTTTTGTTGTACGTCTTTACTAAGTAATAACAGGTTTTTACAGACAGCTAATCACTTTGATGACGGACTGTAGTCACTTGTGCGAAAGCAACATACCGTTTTTATGTTCAGGCTATTTTACACTTCGTCGTACCCACTAAATGTTCTCTGATACTGTCCACATACATGTTTACATGATAAACACAAGTGCATTGACCTCAACGCACGCGATATACTGTCAGAATGTATCTACCACTGCATAGTTTTTCAAACGCCAGTACAACCTGTGATTTAGAGTAACACACCTTTGTTGGAAAAAAGCTTAGGGTTAAACATCAATCTTTAAACCAAGAGCATTCCTATGAATTCTTATTATTCCAACTTCAGGTCGTTGCAGCGAAACCATGCAACAAAAGCGATGGGATGTGCGCCAATACGTCGGAAGAACGGGCTTTGTTCGTCTTGTGGATTATAGCGCAGGTGGCTGGGGACATATCAATTTTGATGACCTACGAGGCAATATCAAATGCGAGAGTAAGTAACAATTGTTTGTAAAAAAAAAAAAAAAAACCAGCGTAGTGAACCCGATAATATTTAACGATTATTCCACGAGCGTGCGTTGAGATGATAGCTAGCCAAACGAGGCGCGTAGCGCCGAGTTGGCTATAATCATCTCATATCCAACAAGCGCGAGTGGAATAATTGTTTTATTTAAAAAACGCCCCCAAGATATTAGACAAATCTTCTCCACTTTATTTTGTAAGAAGAAACCAGATGTTACAATGTACAGATTATGGTATATTGGCTCAATAATGCCTAAGCCAATGAAAAGTCTTGAATTTCATTATCCAATGATCCAGTTTTTAATAATTATAAATACCTCTGATGTCTCACTCTCTATAGAACCCTGCAAGAACCCTCTTGGTATGCAAAATCGCAAGATTCCTAACTATGCTATCACGGCTTCTTCTTCATGGGACAACAATCACGGTCCCTATCTGGGACGTCTGCATTTCACCGCCCGTGGAAGGTACCAAGGAGCCTGGAGCTCACGCCATAACAATCGCAATCAATATTTTCAAGTGAACTTCCGTCGACCGACGAAGATTACAGCCGTCGCCACTCAAGGAAGACAGAATGCAAATCAATGGGTGACTCAATACCGACTTTCATACAGTCAAGATGGGTTGTCTTGGGTTTTTTATAAGCTGAGAGATGGTATTAAGGTATGGGAAATGTAGTGTTTGCGTCCGTAATAAATCGAAGAAGTCATGTTTTATCTTACACCTTCGCCTGCTGCAAAGACAAACCGTAATAAACCGAAGCAATCACTCAAAATAAAGTCATGTTTTATCTTACACTTTCGCTCACCACAAATACAAAGTCCCTCTGTATAGTAGCTTCCAGGGCACGAAAGGGATATACAATGGTATGCTCTCAAGAGACAATTTTTTTTTCTCCAAGACTTATTTACAGGCCTTATTGAAGATTCAGCAATTAGCATCATACTAGTCGTATTTAGCTGTTGATTGAGAGGATCGTCTTATCAAGCCTAAACTGTAAATTCGCGCAACATAAAAGGGAAGATATTTTGTTTGATGAGCGAAAGAAAATATAAGACCACTGTTGGAATACAGGGCTCAGTATTCAGTACGTAGAAAAAACTTATACTTCATTAATATAAATGTCTTCAAGGACCTTACTCGACCTCTATGCTTTGCAAAAAGATCATACATCATGTAACGTTATTGTTGAGTACCCGCGTTGACGAAGCAGCAAAGGATGGAAAGTGACTGGAGTTTCTCCATATAATTTCAATGCATTTTTGGGAAGAAAGCGTTTGAGAAATAAAGAAACATATCAATTAGCGGATAGTGTCCTGATGTCAATTCTAAGAGTTAAGATTATACGAAATGTACAGCAGACAGCGTAGAGAATCGAACTAAAGATCTCGGGAGTGAAAGGTTTAGAGGGTATGAGTTGTCCTTGGGCATCAATATGGCAATTTGCATGTCTTCACTGGAGAATAAACCATAAGTTTTGCTACACGTCTTTCTCTTTCTTGTACTCAGTATTTCCCAGCTAACAGAGACAGGAACACTGTGGTTACCAACTCACTCACAACACCTGTCAGAGCACGATTCATCAGGATTATCCCTTGGGGATGGCGTAGCCATATATCCATGAGAGTAGAGTTCTACGGATGCTATATTGGTGAGATGTTCTGAGCATTTATTAATCTCAACAGCGAATACATAAAAACAAATGGATTCCAATAGATCATAAATAAAAAACCAGCATAAAAAAATAGTGGTATAATTCAGCCTTAGATTTTAGTACGAAACGGGTAGTTGAAGAGTACAAGTGGATAGTGACTAAGTATTACAACGACAAAGTTCTAGAGTTAGAACTAGAAAAAAAAATCCGTTGTCATCATCCAAGGAATTTCATGTCTTGGAGTTAAGTGTGAGCGCTCAACCCCGATTTTCTAGGGTGTGACAGCCGGCTTCATCTGCCAAACGTAATCGGGAAGTGTTCCCCTTGCTCAACTTCCGTGTGGCGAAATTCGCGCAAATTCTAGGTAGGATGTGCCTGTTTTTATATGATGTACCTACTTACTGTTAACTTGTTGCTTGTAATTCTGCTTTGCAGAACAATGCCGCATGCCTCTTGGTGCAGAAGACGGCCGCTTGGTCCCAGGTTCTTTTTCGGCCTCGACCTACTACAATCATTATCTGGCACCATGGCATGGTCGGTTAAATCACCGCTGGTCATGGAGCGCACGTTACCGCAGGCACGGCCAATGGCTGCAGATTTCTTTTGGAGGAAGTGCAACAGTAAAGGGAATCGCCTCACAAGGCAGACAGGATGCTAACCAATGGGTAACGCAGTACACACTTGGTCGCAGTACAGATGGAATGAAATTTTACCTTTACCACGAGGGACGAGGAACAATGGTAAAATAGAGATTGCTGTTACAATACATTTTTTAAACTAATTTTTTACTGAATCGGTGCTTTTTGCTAGAGCATATCTTAGTATGTAAATGTTCTATTGTTGCACGTAACAGGAAATTCGGGAAGATTCGGAGCCTACAGGAAGAAAAGCATCTGACCACTTTCATAAATGGCTGCCGGATTAATATTCTTTTGTTTAAATTTAAATTAGCCTTTCTGGCCTCGCTTGAGAGAATGTATTCTTTTGAATTTTGTACTGGAGAACGAGGCCAGAAAGGCTGATTTTAATTTAAACAAAAGAATATTAATCCGGCAGCCATTTATGAAAGGGGTGTATAGGATAGAGAATATATTTCACGATGAGCTTACATTTTTTCGCTCTTGTTCAGATTCAAATTTGAAGTTAGGAGTAACATTAAAGTGCATGGTAAAGTACAGAGAAAGCGTACATTCCCATCGAAACAGAAGAAAGGAAAAATTCCCGTTCATACTTGTTTTTCAAAGAGTTTATGGTAGTACATATGGAAACATAGAGGAGAACCAGTAGACGATCGAGAAACCTTCCCTCCTTTTAACCCTTTAACTCCCACGGATGACCAAGACAGAATTTCTCCTTACAATATCAATACAATATCAAGCAGACAAGTCATGAGAATTAAGAAAAATATAAATGAAGGGATTATCAGTTGATCCAATACCGAATTCCCCGAACTAACAATAGAGGAATTTTATGGCAGACGGTAAGGAGACTTACTAAGCACTGTGTGTGTTTATATACTTTTCTTTCTTTCCTTTGTTTTAGATGTTTAGAGGAAACATGAACCGCTTCGGTATTGTGTTTCACCTCATCAACAGACCGTTTGTGGCGAGTCACGTTCGTTTCTATCCTCGTAGATGGTACAGCTGGATTTCGATGAGGGTCGAAGTCTATGGATGTTCGACAAGTAAAGTTGTTTCTACTTTTCAGCTACATTACACTATATTTACGAAATTTTGTACTTTTTTAGGATTAAGTATTCACCGAGAAGAGCAAATATTCGTGTTGAGAAGAAAAGGAAAAAACAGTGAAATCGGGAATTAAGATGCCAAGCAACAGTCCTTGGCAACCAGTCAGTACTTATCGCCGGGGAAGTGGGGGTCGGAAGATTTTGGGAACGATCACGTGGTTTTCATTGGTAACGGGGGAAAATCAGTCGTCTCCAATAGAATATAAAGGGGGGTATATAGGAAATCAATTGCTAATTAACTGCCATTGAGGGGGAGTGGGGAAAGGAATATTACAGAGCCTTTTGGGGGATCAGTTAAATTTTATTGTGACACAAACAAACCTCTCCGATCCCCCTTCCCCTCCCCCTTCCCATCCCCCTTCTCCTCCCTCTTCCCCCTCCCCCATCGCTATAGCTATTAACTGGTCTTTTAGATTAACGTTTATCCCTAAATCCTTTAACAAGAACCATGATTAAATGATCATGATTAGAACAAAGCTTATTACAATTTTTTCCTTCACAGTTGGTCTCTGCAATGGTGTTCTCGGTCTTCAAAATGGCCGTCTAAAGAACAAACAAATCACCGCTTCGTCTTCGTGGCCAGGCCTTTACACTTGGCGCGCGAGACTGCATCACAGTCAGGCCTGGTGCGCGCGGTATAACAATCACAATCAGTGGCTCAAGTTTGACTTCCTCCGGCCCACTAAAGTGACGGGAATTGCCTTACAGGGAAGGTCTAATGTGCACCAGTGGGTTACTCGGTTCCTTTTGCACTCTAGTCTGGATAATGTGCATTGGAATGTGTACAGATACAAGAACAATGACAAGGTGAGCGTTTGAGCTCCTCCCAAATTTCTTCTCCTCATTAAGAGTGTATGGTAAGTTTTCTAATTTATCTGCTTGTGTTTAATGTCTTAGTACTTTCCTGGAAGCCGCGATAAAGATTCAGTGGTGACTCAACCAATAAACCCAGCAATCATTGCAAGATTTGTGAAAATCCAACCACGTGGCTGGCGCAGTCATATTTGTATGAGAGTTGAATTTTACGGCTGTCCAGCAGGTAAATAGATACTTAACGTGTTAAACTTTGGATAATATGATTCCTAAGGCGGTGGTTTCCTCTCTCAGCTCCAAGAATTGTAAAAGCCTTCACAATGAATGCGACAATAGGGATATTTTTCCATTGGCTTGTTTTTGTTGTGCTATGAGCTTGAAGAGAAGGCTGTCCGGTTTTAATCATTAACAGAATTCTTTAACCATTTATAACTCCTAGAAATATCGAAGAAACAATTTCTCCTCACAATATTGAAATGATATCAAGCAGACAAGTGACGAGATTAAAGAAAAATGTCAACGAGGGGATTATTCGTCCATTCAATAGCTATTATTTCTTTGAACTAACATCATAAGAAGTGTATGGCAGACAGTCAGAAGAAGTATAGTATAGGCGCTATACAAATATTTTTATTATTTTATTTTATTATTATTATTAAGAATTACTAATGGATGGGAGTGTAAGGGTTAAGTCACAACAAACTGCTTCCTTCTCTTACCATGTTGGTGAACATTGTTGTTATTTGAAACAAGGTAAAAGAGAGAAGCTAGCGTTTACTCGATAACAATGTCTAAACAGGATTTCATTGGTATGGCTAAAAGTTTTAATTTTTGTGTGTTGCTCCTTTTACAGACCGTTGCTTTGTACCTCTCGGAATGCAAGATGGCCGCATTACAAAATCCCGTCTCCGCGCATCTTCCATGTACAACTGGTACTATGGACCATACAACGCCAGGCTACAAGCGCGGAACTATGGCTCTACACGAGGAGGCTGGATCGCTAAAATAAGAAACACTCAGCAATGGATTCAGGTTGATTTGGAAAAACCTTCCACACTAAAAGGCGTGGCTACTCAGGGTCGCTATGACGCAAATCAGTATGTCAAGTCATACCTTATCACTTACAGTGGAAATGGGAGGCGATTTTATCCGTACAAAGAAGGGAGCCGAACAAGGGTAATGCGTTACTACCATCACTGTTAGTTTTCTATTTGCAGTATTCAGTTAAGTTCAGAACAGGAGCTACTCTCGATGTAATAAAAAGTCTTCTTTTTACCGAGGCTAAGAAGCTTTAACCTTAAGAACTCATGTTCTTCACATTTTTCTTTTTACGTTTCCTCCCAGGGCACCTATTGATAACAGCTTCAGCTGACGGGTTTACCCTGGTTAAATATGTCATTATTATTATTATTATTATTACTATTATTATTATTATTATTATTATTACGGTACTGACAAGGAGAATTTGTTTGACAACAAAAAGCTTCTTAAATTGGTGATCATTTCCTTTATTCTCATGAATTTAGCATTTGATTTAAGGGTGATGCAATTCGGAGAAATTAGAACCCAGTCACTCTCGGGGATATGAGGGTTAAAGGAGAACTAGCATTCATTTGCTTGGTTTGTGTACCCTGATTTTAGCGGGGGAGGGAGGGGGGTAAGTTTTTAAAGAAACTGTGGTGCCGCGTCGGTGGGGGTAACAAGGTAATTTGGTTTTATCAACTAAGTTGATAATGTAAATTTTCCTTCATTCATTCATTCATTCATTCATTTTATTTGCCATCACCAGAAAAAAATTAACCGAATACAAAATTTATGACACATCAAAGATGTGCGATTATCGGAGGCGAAAGAAAGAGTGGAGGCCAAGTATATATTTAAAGCTATATATTTAATGAGCTATTGTAAGATAATTTGGTTTTATCAACTGAGTTGATAATGTAAACTGGCCACCGTGAAGAGTTTAAAAGCTGACGTTTCGAGTGCTAGCCCTTCTTCATTAGCTCTGACGAAGGGTTAATGCCTGAAACGTCAGCTTTTAAACTCTTTACGGTGCCCTGAGTTTAGTTGATCGAAAATAACGTTTTTCTTGAAATAAGAAAAAAAAACTAACATTTTCGCCATTACTGGTTTTGATCTCCCATTAGTAGTCACAGTTTCATGAAAGTCTTCAAGTCTTTGCAATCGTCAATCATCTAACTGGTCAAATCTGGTGTCATTCATTGTTTATAGATGTTTAATGGAAACAGTGACAGATACCACGTTGTCCCGCATCGTTTTGTAAAACCATTCAGGGCTCGGTACGTGCGACTTCATCCGAAATCCTGGTACGGATATATATCTTTGAGAATGGAACTGTACGGTTGTAGACACGGTGAGTTGGGCACCTACAGAGTGTTCTTTAACCCTTTACACCGTAACATCAGTATGCATATTCTCCATACTGTTCTTTATACGTTTCCTAAGGTGCTGACAAGGAGAATTTGTTTAACAATCAAGAACTTATTTAGTTGATGATCGATACCTCTATTTTCGTGTGAAAGATTTCCTTGTGGCTTGATTAATGCTTTGTTTGACGCCATTTTTCCACTTTAGGTCCTCTGTGTAACCGACCAATGGGAATGCAGAATGGTCGTATTCACAATAGCAAAATCACTGCCTCGTCTTTCTGGGACCCATTCCATGCCGCATTTCGCGCCAGATTACATCATGGTAAAGCTGGACGCTACATTGGAGCATGGAGTGCAAAAACCAACAACCGTTATCAATTTCTGCAGGTGAATACTAAAAAAAAAGTGTGATATCGTCGGAGAAGTAAAACTTTTTTATGGAATAAAGCAAGCTTAGTTTAGTTTATAAGGCTTTGATCTTGGGTCGGCGGTTAGCGCAACATCATGCAACCAGCCAACCAGTTTTTGCCCTGCTAAGTGGGCGCTGGACTGGAAAAAGGGCGCGAGTAAGAGGTTATTGAATCGTCTGATAAACATTTTATTTGTTTATAAACAGGTGGATTTTTCAAGGGCAGCTCATATTGTCAGAGTCGCAACCCAGGGGAGGCAGGACTTAAGGCAGTGGGTAACACAGTATTATCTCAGATACTCCTTGGACGGAATTCACTTTGTTGATTACAAGCAACGACACACCAGAAAGGTACAAAATAATAGATAATTGTGCATTTGTGATCACCACGAATTTGCAAAAGTTTCTCCTTGATCATTTCTTGAAGTATCTTTTTTAAGCTATTGACGTTTTCGGATTTTGGCTAGTTAACCGACGAGGGTATGAAGAAGTGGCGTAGGCGCGTCAACACCCTGTAAATCGAGAGTCTGACAGAGTTCGCGCCAGAATTACCTTCAGGAATCCAGCTGGTCAATCGATAAGGCAAAGAGGCTAAGGAGAAACGCGTATTGCTTATTTACCTACGCTATAGGAGGTTCATATGATATAGCTGTAGGCTGTGCAGTTATCGTTTCCCATCTCCAAGTGTCTTATGTATTGTACTATGCTCTTTGTGTCAGTATTTCCCCGGAAATCGAGATCAGAACACAGTTGTGTCACACGCGCTGGTGCCCAATATCAGAACTAGGATCATCCGTATTGTACCCTGGCATTGGTATGGACACATCTCCATGCGAGCAGAGTTTTATGGATGTCTTACAGGTTTGTTATCACATAGGAGAGTGTAGCTGAGTATAGAAGTCTATTTGCAAGACTGACTCAGTTAGCTACTGAAGTTTATCCGCGTGTGTGTGCATACGCGAGTCATACGTGAGACGAGGAATTTTTCTTTTCGTTTACGAGTCTTTCGCACTCATCCCTCGAGCTCGTGTAAGCTATGCTGTAAAAATATAAATTACATACATACATGTATTTTATATTTTTACAGCAGAGCTTACACGAGCTCGAGGGAGCGCGAAAGACTCATAAACGAAAAGAAAAATTCCTCGTCTCACGTATATAATAATAATTATATTTTCTAAAATGAGCATTGAGCACTCCAAAGTATTTCGTTAATTTTTCTTTACAGGTCACCGGCACTCATTATACACTTCGGTCGAGCGAGGCTCTGTGTTGTTAATATTCTTATCAAGACGACCCGGTCAAAGGTTGGACCGAGTAGACATACAGTTGACACCATAATTCTTTAGCGTGCGGTTTTGATTGAAATCATTTGCGATGGCTGTCAGTAGGTCTCCAGAAAATGTCCTCGGGAATATTCTGTTGATAGTTCAGACTCATGGAGACTGTCTTATTTGTAAAGATGATAACACTAAAGAGCCAAATGCTAGAAACAAGGCTCATTATAAAGTTCTGAAGCTTTGGAAAGATTTAAAGTTTTGTGAAAGGAGAGTCCTTAATAGGTCATCGATATTAAGTTTGAGAGACTCATTTTAACCGCAAATTCTTTCGTTCTCTTAAAGATCATTGTAGCATGCCTCTTGGTGTAGAAGACTATCGCATACCCTCTGGTTCATTGCAAGCATCATCCACCTGGAACTACAACCATGGTCCAGACCGCGCGCGAATTAACTTTCCTTCGGGACATAGTCGTGCAGGGGCCTGGGTTGCGAAAGGTAGAGACGCAAATCAGTGGCTACAGGTGGAACTGGATCGACCGGCCAAAGTTACAGGCGTGGCTACGCAGGGTCGACATGATGTCCACCAGTGGGTGACCAGCTACACAGTGTCGTACAGTTTGGATGGAAAATCGTTCAAGGCGTATCTAGAATTTGGGAGAACCAAGGTTGGTTATTATTTCTATCCAATATTCCTGTTTTGAAATATGTTTAGGGATAAAATGTGGTAGACTTTTACAACTGAATGCTATTCCCACAATGGGAAGCAGATTGCAAAAATTGATGATGGTCCTTGTAGGGTTACTGATGATTTCTATTTCTTTAGATTTCATTGTCACTTTGTTTACTACTTTTTGTCAAAGTTGAAGAGAGAATAGGGACCTTAAGAAACCACGACGGCAATGAGAACGTGGAAAAATAAGAGATCTAATTGGCACAACAATAGCTCAGCACGTGCGTTTTGAAACTTTGTACATTTCTTAGCCGTCCTATGCAAAACAACAACGTGACATCGCCAAAATTTGCGTCGTCTGCGAACCGAAACCGCGACGGCAAACTATGTTAAGTTCCATTTGGAACTCAACGGCTACTTTATACGTCATACTGAAGTTGAGCTGTGGCGCTGTATGAGACAGTAAGCTCCTGCAGCCATTTTTGAAATTCTAACTAAGAGTAGAGATTCATTTTTTAATCAAAGTCTTCCTTGCCGTCGCCGTCGTGGTTTCTCAAGGTCCCCAATAAGTCAAAACGGCGGAATTGCATGCCAAGCGACAAAACCATTGGAGCTCTCTTCCAAAAGTTTTTGGCTAACCATCAAAGTAATCGGATTGACTACATTACTTAGAACTGAGAGACCTTCAAGTATTCCTTTGTAGCAAGTGAAAACTGGAATAAGTAATTCCTGCTTCAGATGTTTGTTTTTTGAACTCACCAGCCAATGAATTCTTCATTATAAGCGGAAAACGTGACTACCGCTAGAAACTGGATAACGATTACTGAAAAAGACTTCACAAGTCTAAAGTTTTACCTGTTTCTAAGGCTTACAGTTGTTTGAGAAAATTTTCAGTATCAAAGATGTGTTTTTGCAACTTTCCAAGTTGATGGTTTACACATCGATTCTCAGGTATTCAGCGGAAACTTCGATCGCTACACCATCGTGATACACGAACTTGCTCCTCCGATCAGAGCCAAATTTGTCCGATTTCATCCGAAGTCGTTCCGAAGCTCCATCGCCATGAGGGTGGAGGTTTTCGGGTGCTATTACGGAGGAGGTAAGGGTATGTTTGTGACATGTGCGATTATCTAAGTATACCAGGAACTGTTGACTGTACACTTTGAAAAGCAAACCATACACATAATAGGAAAGGGAAGGTGGAATGACATTACTTTGCAGCTGAATTACTTCCGTTTTGCTTGGATTGACATTAGTGACATACGCAAAGGAACATATTTGGTTTGTTCTTGAGTTCATAAAAAAGAATAATTGCGAAACTGGGCGGAAAAGATATTTGACTATCTCTTCAAATGAAGATGAAGTTCATTCTTACGTACGTTGATGGTTTATTTTCCTTTTTTTCAAAAGTTCGTTTCTGTAACAATCCTGTCGGTATGCAAAACGGAAAGATCAAAAATGGCCAAATCACAGCCTCCTCAATGTACAATCAGTTCCACGCACCGTGGCTTGCCAGGCTCCACCGCGCCAAACATGGCCGCTACATTGGCTCTTGGTCATCAAGACACAATAATCACAACCAATGGCTGCAAGTTAACCTTGGAAGGACTATGAAAGTGACTGGTATCAATACCCAGGGACGCCAAGATGCCCATCAGTGGGTGACTGCTTACTATGTGTTCTATAGCTTGGATGGGATGTACTTTGCTAAAGTGAAGCACTGGTGGAACTATGTGAAGGTTGGTGACTGATGTTGTACAGCTCTGTTTAGCCCTGTATGAGCTCACCGCAAGGGAAAGTCTTTTGCAGGCAAATGTTTGTGCGCGTTTACATTAAAAAAGAAATCAAGGCAAGCCTTGGTCGACACCTCTTACCGGGCTACCCTTGTCTCCAACCGCGTTGAACCGGGTTAAATAATTGAAATTTCTCGACTTTTTTCATTTTAAAAGTGGCAAAAAGCTGCCCTCTGAAAACAAACCAGTCTCAAATCAAACCACTTTTTTTTTTTTTTTTTGCAATTTACTTGCAATTTTGGGTTCTTGATTATTATTATTATTATTATTATTATTATTATTAGCAATCTTTGTGGTTAATCATTCCGGAATCGTGCGAGGAGCCCTAATTGAAGCTTGGTGAAATAGTAAACAACTGAAGGTTTCTGCCGTCTTACCTTTCCATATATTCTTGCATTGGCGATATACTTCACTTCACTTTAAAGTTAAGCTTTTTACACCCTAGCATCAATATACACATTCTCAATACTTTTCTCCATACATTTCTTAAGGTGCTGCTAAGGAGAATATGTTGAACAATCAAGAGCTTCTTTAGTTGTTGATCGTTTCCTTTATTCTTATGACCTTAATGTTTGATTCAGGAGTGATATTGTAAAGAGAAATTAGATTCTAGTTACTCTCGGGGGGTCCAAGGGTTAAATGAGCACAGAAAAACATTCCAAGTACCTTGAAAGAACTAGAAAGGATCCACCAGTGGCAGCAAAACACCTGTGAACTCCATGCTGAAGTAAACGAGGCAAAGACTAATCAAACTATAAAGTCATCATCTTACCACACCTGTGAGAAGAATTAATGGAATTTTTTTGTTTCTTTCGCAGCAATTCCCAGGAAACGTCGACAGATATTCTCTACGCACGCACGCTTTCAAGCCAGCCATTTACGCCCGCTTCGTTCGTATCCAACCACGAGGCTGGTGGTCACATATTTCCATGAGGATGGAGCTTTACGGATGTCCATGGAGTAAGTGGGGCTCTCTACATTTTAAAGAATTATAGGAAGCTGTTTTTGAGAAACCCCCTGAATAACTAGAATCCTGGAATGAAGGCTCAACGAAAACTCGAATTAAATCTTAGCTTGGGGTTGACACAAATTCGCATTCAGTGGTGATACGACTCCTTGTGTTTCATCGTAGCCTTCTGGCTCCACGTCCCTATTCCAGCAAAGTCATGATACTTCGCCCTCTGATTGGACCTTTCACATTTCGGATGGTGGATTTGTTTTTGTTGTCGTTACTGACTTGCTATTCCTCCAAAGAATTTCCAAGCCAAAGAGAAGTAAAATTTAACTTCTCTTTTACAAAACCAAAACAATGTGTGAATTTCTATTTTGTTTAGTCACCCGACCAAAGAAAAAGCTCTCTGTAACCGTTTAAGTATTTTCTGCTCACCCTTGCTTATCATCAGTCTTTACCTTTATATTTTTTTATGTGCACTTTTCTTTGTTTAACGACCATCAAGACGCTTGAAATCCTTGTAAAATCCAGAACACTGGTGGCATGTGAACTTATTCTATGAGCCTTCGGCTTAGCACGGTCGATTAAATTGCTGGCTGAGCAAGAGTTTTATTTATCCCAAGCAAGTGACAAATGTTTGACGTATTTCTGTAATTTTTACGGTTTTCCTTCTAGATCATTGTGATATGCCACTCGGTCTCGAAGACGGCCGAGTTCCTGACCCAGTGATGACTGCTTCTTCGTACAACAATATTTACGACGCGCCGTGGAACGCCCGACTCAACAGGCGGCGTTACAGCCGTTTTGGTGGAGGATGGTCACCGCGTAGAAATGACGGACAAAGGTGGCTGCAGGTTGATTTCCAGGCTATGGCGAAAGTGACACGTGTCGCTACCCAGGGAATGCAGAATGCCAATTACTGGGTGAAGAAATATTACATCAAATATTCAAGAACTAGAACTGGATTTGTTCCATATCGCGAGGGTAGAACCACAAAGGTATGTTTTACTTACTGATGTGATGTCAAAACTCCCATCTCCAAATTTTGCCCTGATTCTCATACGGTTCGAGATCGCTCGTTCCAAGGAGAGGGAATATGAAGCACTATGGCTCGTCTGTCTTGATGAAAGAGTCATTTCAGAACTTTTAGGAGATCGCCATAATAGTCCTTACCGATCGAACAGATTCTTTTATTAGTTCAATCGTCATGAACATTTCATTTGTCTTTCTTGTTTTATAGATTTTCCGTGGAAACTATGACAGATACATCATCGTGCAAAATAGGTTTGCCCGGGTACTCCATGGCAAATACTTCAGAGTTTACCCTGTTTCTTGGTATTCTTGGATTGGCTTGAGGGTCGAGTTCTATGGATGTGTCTACGGTAAGATTTCACTAAAGCAGCGAAGGTCCTTGATCTATAAAACTTGACATGAGAAGTGTCCAGGTAACCGCGCTCTTACTGAGTTGAATTTTCAAGTCTGGCAACGTTTTACAGAAAGGGAATGAGAGACATGGAAGTGATCACCGAAGTTTGAATCACCTTAGTTTGAAATATCGTATGAAAGGGTAGACTTAACTTATTTTGAGACCCCGAGATCACAAATTACATGTAGAATATCATTTGAAAGGTTAAACTAGATTGAGTGGTGTAGATTTTGATAGCTGGTCCTAATTTTAACGGATCAAGGGAATTTATATTTCTGACCTGGTTAACTTGTCTGTAAAAAACACAAGTGTTAAGAACTTAAGGTAACATTCTAAATGAAAACTTTTAGCTCTACATTAAGTTTATATCGCAATTTACAGGAAAGCGATGTAACCAACCTCTGGGAATGCAAAATGGTCGCATAAAAGCAGCACAGCTATCCGCGTCCTCTAGCTGGGACGGAAATCACGTGCCTAACAATGGCAGGCTTCACCTTCGCCGCATTGGCCATCGAGTGGGGGCCTGGTGTGCTCGACATAACACACGGTACCAGTGGTTTCAGATCGATTTTTACCGCGCAGTAAGATTGGTAAAAATCGCCACTCAGGGAAGACAAGATGCCGCTCAATGGGTCACTCAGTATTATCTTAGCTACAGTCAAGATGGCGCGCACTTCGCGGAGTTTAAACATAACAGCAACCGGAAAGTAAGTGTGGAGACAATACTTTTGCGTTATTTTAATGAACCATGGCGTTCGTCATGCACGCATAAAGCCATTCTCTAATGAAAACTTTTAAGCTTTAAAATAACTTTGTGAGAAGAATATCCTACAGTGTTTTTAAGCTTAAGAATTCACAGAAGTTAACCATATCTTCATTCTTATTTTCCCAGTACCTTGTGGGTAATAGAGACCAAAACAGTGTGGTACAAAATCGTTTATTTCCGCAAATCAGAGCGCGCTTTCTACGTGTCCATCCTTGGGGCTGGTACAGACATATCTCTATGAGAGTGGAGCTGTATGGGTGTTCTGCAGGTTTGATCTCGTCCTTATTAAAATCAAACTGAAAAGTAAACTTTAATGCTATGACTCCTTGGTGTTGCATGGCTCATCCTGTTCTGCGCACAACAGTACTCGCAAAATCCTTTAATTAGGACGCGCATGATTCAAAACTAAGATTACCTGTCATGGAAACTTCAGATGAATGTCAGTGTCTGAGCAGCTGCGCACCTACCCCTCCCTTAAACCGACTTAATCCTAACTTGTTATTTGTTGACTTTTTTAGGTTAGGGGTGGGGTATGTGTGAAATTGGTCATATAGTGAAATTTATTTGAAGATTCATAGAAAATAAGTTTTACACTGTATTGTGGGGAAGAATCAGGGAAAATTTAAAAAGGTCCGAGAACAACCTTTATTTCTAGGAAATAACCTTATTGATGAGCCAATACCTGATGTTGACTGGCTCATGCTATTTTTACCCGCCCTTTCCCTTGCCATCAGTATATTCTATTCCTCATTTTTGCCTTTATGATTTCTTACATTTCATTTTCTGTTTATTATTTCTATTTTTTTTTTTTAATGTAAGGACGTTGCTCACTTCCTCTTGGTTTGGAAGACAAACGTATCACCAATGGCCTTTTATCGGCGTCTACATATTACAATCATAATCTGTCCCCCTGGCATGGCCGGTTAAACCATCGCTGGTCATGGAGTGCTAGGACCAACAACCACAACCAGTGGTTCCAAGTGAGCTTTGTGGGTGTGGTCAGGGCGACAGGGATTGCTACCCAGGGAAGACAGAATGCTAATCAATGGGTGACAAGGTATATTGTGTCCTACAGTCCGGATTCAACCAACTTCCGCTATTACTCTGAAGGGAGGGGAACCAAGGTAAGAGTATTCCAAACATCTGGGGCACACTGTGCCACTTTTTTGTTTTTAGCAGATGTTAACGTCATTGTTGATCTATCACTAAACATACCCACGACAACATGGAATATATTTGTTAAACAGATACACCAGAGTGAAAGGCCTATTGCGTATGGAAATCCTGCTAACTGTCTTGGTCACTGCGATTGCTCTCCAATCATTTCTTTTGAATTTCAATATTCTTGTTCCTGACAGGTGTTCACCGGAAACAGCAACAGGCACTCGATTGTGTACCACGATTTTGTGAAGCAGTTCAACGCCGTGTATGTTCGTATTTATCCAAGACGTTGGTACGGCTGGATTTCGATGAGAGCAGAGATATACGGCTGTTATGGTATGTTAGAGTTCGTGTTTCGAGAGTGTTTACGAAGGAGAGGAACGAAAATGTTTCACTATTGGTCCTGGACGAAGTGATTGATTTATTCACCGATCGACAGACAGATAGGCAGACAAGAACAAAGACTAATATACAGATTGATGATTGATTGATGGACTGATAGATCGATTGATTGACTGATTGATTGACTGATTGATCGATGGAATGATTGATTGATTGATTGTTTGACGGACTGATTAATTAATTGACTGCTTCTACCCTTCAATAACGTCCATGTTTAGATAAAATTTTTATCGTTCCTGGTTCACTTCCTCAACCACTCAGCAGTTCTTGATTACCCTATGTACCGATCCTATTTCAACATTTTCAAGAGTTTTGACACTTACCAATGAGTTTTTATGACATTTTTTTCTCTATATAACTGAAAAAGCATGAAAATATACCATAGAAGATTTGACTCAACAAAACTCTTGCTATGAAATGAAACATATTCTATCGAAATGTTGACATTCTTTTATTATTTGTCGCCTAATTTTATTTGAGCACGTAAATCTCGGTCTTTTTAATGTAAAAAACGGTATCATTCTCCATGCTTCACGTTTCTGTTTTGCAGTATTTTCGTGCAGCAGCCCATTGGTTAGAAAACTACCGAACTCCAAGATCACCGCATCTTCAGAATACAACAAATACCACGCGGCTTGGCTTGGAAGACTGGGTCGAGTACGGCATGGAAGTTATGTGGGAGCCTGGTGCTCAAGACATAACAATCACAACCAATGGATCAAGTTTGACTTCTCTCGACCAATGAAAATCACTAAAGTGGACACTCAAGGCCGACAGGACGCTGACCAGTGGGTAACGCGTTATCAACTTTCCTCCAGCTTGGATGGAATTCACTGGCAGATTCATAGGATTAACAGTCAGGATAAGGTAAGACACACGATTTAGGAGTCATTTGTAGAGTTATCGCTTGCAACTTGGGATAGCTCACCGCGTTATGATATTCTGTGACTGTCATGCATCTTTGGAGAGCTCACCGCGGTATGATATTCTGTGACTGTCACGCATCATGGTTTCTCAAGGAAGAAAGTGCATTGCACAACACGAGCAAACAGGGGCTGCCAACGAGACCATACCTCACTTTGACAGATACACATACGTTACCTTCAAAGTTAACTGGATAGTCATGGCTTTGAATTCACCTGACCAACAAACTGAACTTTATAATCTCCAACAAGCACCTTAAGTCTCCTTTCACAATACACACAGATGAAATCTTTTGCCTGACGAGTTTAAGGTGTTTCCTCAATATGACAAACATAACATAACACAAGTAACGTGACCACTAAAAAGATCAGTCTTTGGACGTTAGCTTCCTACAAAGAATTTGATCCTCTGTTTTCTTGAATATTATGATACCATCGCCTCTTTGCTAACCTTTTCACTCAACGTTATTATCAAATTTTCCCTTTCAGTTCTTTCAAGGAAACCGCGATCGCAACAGCGTAGTCACGCAAGCTATCAACCCACCTATTTTAGCGCGTTACATTCGTTTACACCCGAGGGGATGGAGAAGCCACATTTCTATGAGAGTCGAGTTTTATGGATGTCGCGCAGGTAGGGAACAATTTCTTTGTAAATATATGATCTGCAATAATTCTGTAATATTAATACAGTCGAACCTAGATTATCCGGACGTTTACTCTGATCCCAATTTTGTCATGAATATTAAATTAGTCACGATTAAGATCCGTAGCCAAATTCTTTTTAAAACTACTGCGTTCAAAAGTAGAGTAAAGACGAGTTTCTTTCACCTCTAGAAAGCAAAAGCAGCGCTCGCACGCGTCGTAAATAAAGAAGAACATTCAAATGAAGTCTGATTGCCATACAGTGAGATTTCACGCTCTACTGATTCGTTCGGCGTACATACCATCACGAATGTTTATTCACGATCATCATATCCTTGAAGCGTAAGCCATCCGTCACTTAAATAAAAGATAAAAGATAGCCAAAATCGGAAATGTGCCGCTACTGGCCAAAATCCCAAATCGACCACGAGTGGCCAAAATCCCAAATCGGCAACTACTGGCCAAAATGGGAAATCTGCCAATACTGGCCAAAATAAGAAATCTGCCAATACTGTCCAAAATGGGAAATCTGCCAATACTGTCCAAAATGGGAAATCTGCCAATACTGGCCAAAATAAGAAATCTGCCAATACTGGCCAAAATGGGAAATCTGCCAATACTGTCCAAAATCGCAAATCGGCCACTAGTGGCCAAAATCGGAAATCTGCCACTAGTGGCCAAAATCGGAAATCTGCCACTAGTGCCCAAAATAAGAAATCTGCCACTAGTGGCAACAGTCGGAAATCTGCCACTACTGGCCAAAATAAGAAATCTGCCACTAGCCGCCAAAATGGGAAATCTGCCACTAGTGGCCACAATCGAAAATCTGCCACTAGTGGCCAAAATGAGAAATCTGTCACTAGTGGCCAAAATCGGAAATCTGCCACTAGTGGCAAAAATAAGAAATCTGCCACTAGTGGCCAAAATCGAAAATCTGCCACTAGTGCCCAAAATAAGAAATCTGCCACTACTGGCCAAAGTAAGAAATCTGCCACTAGCCGCCAAAATGGGAAATCTGCCACTAGTGGCCAAAATCGGAAATCTGCCACTAGTGGCCCAAATCGGAAATCTGCCACTAGTGGCCAAAATCACAAATCTGCTATTAGTGGCAAAAATCGGAAATCTGCCACTAGTGGCTAAAATCGATAATCTTCCACTAATGGCCAAAATGAGAAATTTGCTACTAGTGGCCAAAATGGGAAGTCTGCCACTAGTGGCCAAAATAGGAAATCTGCCACTACTGGCTAAAATCGGAAATCTGCCACTAGTGACCAAAATAAGAAATCTGCTTCTAGTGGCCAAAATCGGAAATCTGCCACTAGTGGCAAAAATGAGAAATCTGCTACTAGTGGCCAAAATGGGAAATCTGCCACCATTGGCCAAAATGGCAAATCGGCCACTATTGGCCAATATAACAGATGGGCCTCTGGTGGCCAAAATCGATAACCGGCTGCTAGTGGCCAAAATGGCAAATCGGCTATTAGTGGGCAAGATCTCAAATCGGCAAGAAGTAGCCAAAATTGGGAATCGGCCATTAGTGGCCAAAATTGCAAAATCGCACTAGTGGCCAAAATCGGAGTTTGGCCAACAGTGGTAAAAATTGGAAATTGGCCACTAGTGGCCAAAATCACAAATCGGCTAGTAATGGGAAAATGGCAAATCGGCCACTCGTTACTGTCTTTTTTTTTTTTTTATCGTTGTCTGTTTTATATTATTTTTTATATTTTTGAGATAAAGGAAGGTTTTATTCATTCTCTTATCTGCGCACTGTAATGAGACTATATTACTAATAGTATAATGATGGTTTTAGATCCGTGCGATGTTCCGTTGGGAATGGAAGACGGTCGAGTCACTAAGGGAATGCTTACGGCATCCTCCATGTACAACCACTACTACGGTCCTTGGAGTGCCAGACTTCAGGCCAGGAACTATGGTTCCCTTCGCGGAGGCTGGATTGCTAAGCACCGCAACACTCATCAGTGGCTGCAAGTCGACCTGGGAATCTTATCCAGAGTAAAGAGAATTGCTACTCAGGGTCGGTATGACGCTAACCAGTGGGTGAAATCTTATACAGTGTCTTACAGCAATAACGGAGCGAGGTTCTATCCTGTCAAACACGGAAGGAATGTCAAGGTATTAGATTTCGATTACTGATTTGAATCAAATCTTTCTCAGTCGTACTTTAAAGGACCTACTTACATATGTGCTTCGTTTCTTTCTTTTTCTCACCAAGGTATTCCAAGGCAACATCGAGAGAAATCACGTTGTTTTCCATAAATTCAGGCCTTCACTGAAAACACGTTACGTTCGTATACATCCGAAGTCATGGTACAGCTATATTTCTATGAGAGTGGAGTTGTACGGCTGTAGGCTTGGTAAGTGTGTTCTCACCAACCCTAATGACGTTTTCTTTGTTAAGGGACAAACTTAAACCAAAGATTTCTTCTCCGCAGGCAGAAGAGCGTTTGTTTTACTTACTGCTTTGATTTGAGGAGTCGATTCTAATGATTTTCTCTGAAAATTTCGGTCGTGATATTCTTGAATGGTTATGTTGGAATCTTTGTTTACTTTGATTACGCGAAAGCTTTTCTGCTTTTCTTCTCTCTGCAAGCAGCGTGCCTTATGACTTCCTCTTTTTGCTCTGTGTACAGGCCCACTGTGCAATCGACCAATGGGATTGCAGTCTGGCCGCCTTAAAAATCACATGATATCAGCCTCATCTTATTGGGATGTGAACCACGCTGCTCACCTGGCTCGGCTTCACCACCGTCGCCGGGGTCGTTTCATGGGGGCCTGGTCCTCAAAATACAACAATCGGTACCAGTTCCTGCAGGTCGACTTTGGTGGAGCGTCTAAAATAATCCGAATTGCAACCCAGGGACGACATGACGCAAACCAATGGGTGACGCAATACTATCTGTCGCACAGTTTGACCCGAGTCCACTTTTCAGAGTATAAAGAACGAAACTCCCGAAAGGTAATAAGCTATTCAATGATTATTAAATTTATCTCAAAACGGATATCAACCAAAAAAAATTTGATGTATTAGGTTGAGTATGCCAGTGTTGTGTATTCTAATTTAATGTTATTTTTATGTATTTCAATTAAGCTCTTGTTCTCTCTTCTCTAACGGAGAAGAGTGCCCTCTTGGATTTATTGATTGAATCGTTATTATTGTTATTATCTCTTTTATCACAGTATTCATTTTTAAATGTTCTTTTCGTATTTTTATTTTTACTATTATTTTTCTCATTGTCAACCAAACTGTTTGGTTTTTGTTTGTTGTTGCCTCGTTCTAGTATTTCTCTGGTAATCACGACCGGAACACAGTAAGATTACACCCGTTTATTCCTGCCATTCGAGGACGGTACATCCGGGTACATCCTTGGGGATGGCACGGTCATATCTCTATGAGATTAGAGTTCTACGGATGTCGTATTGGTAAGAGTGACCATCGCATTATTTTTGCCCCCCCACCCGGAAAATGCGAGATGTTATAGGCCTGATAACAAGACAAGCTCGAAATGTCATAGAGAAGTGTTCGGTTTTTTGTGGTTTTTTTTTTACTGTTTTGCCTTTAGACCCCATTTACATTTATTGTAAGAGGAAATTTTTAAGTGTGACTCACAAAATAAATTACATCATGTTCGGTAGTTAAATGTTAGACTTGCTAGTCGCAATTCGTCAACTGATCATCTGCTATGATAGTCTTACGTTCTTGAGAGGAACATTCTGCTATTGACAGTTGCAAAAGTATAACGTACAAGTTGCTATAAGGCCTTGTTCAAATCTTGAGTAACTTTTAAAATTTCCATCTTTTATTAAGATGCCTTTTTAACACTTATCATTTCTTTATCACTTTTAGATCGTTTCACCATGCCTCTTGGTATGGAAGACCGTCGTATTTTGTCGGGTCATCTTCGGGCCTCGTCGTCGTACAACTACAAGCACGGACCTGACCGAGCGCGTCTGAATATCGTCAACGGTCATGGACGAACAGGAGCCTGGGTGTCCAGGCATCGTAACCATAATCAGTGGCTACAGATTGACCTCAGGGAAATGACTATTGTGAAAGGTATCGCTACACAAGGAAGGAGAGAAGCTCATCAGTGGGTGACAAAATATCAGATAACCTACAGTCGATTCGGAGCACGATTCACCTCTTACGTTTCTTTCGGGCGTGTCAAGGTAAGAAGAAGAAATCTTTCTATAGTCTTGGTATGCCCAACTACTTTTAAATTTTCTTTAACTTCCATTTATCTCCCCCTCTTCCCCAGTTCAGTATTGCCTGCTGTTAACGAAATAGTAACTAATTTCAGGCAACATTTTTTGGGGAAGAGGGGGAAATTTCAAGAAACTTATAAGAGATGAATTACAGGATTTCTGTTTTATTTTTTATGTTTAGTGGAGTGTTGTAGACAACCCACTAAGGGGACGCATTCCACCTACCCTAGTCACCCAATGTAGATCGGCCCAGCCTCTGCATCTTTCTTTTTTGGGCATATAGAGGGGATTTCCCATTTTGAAGACCAATTCCAAAATCTATCTCCTGCTATTTTTATTTTCAGTGACGAATAGTACAATTTGGTTGCCGCACGAGGTTGTTAAAAAAAAAAGCTCAGTGTAAGATCCGCTAACATAATTTTGATATGTCTCACCGCGTTTCCATTTCACCAAACATCTGAAACACAGTTTTTGAGTCTCGTGCAATTAGTAGAGCAATAAAAAGGAAAGCTACCAAGAAAACTCTTCAACTATATGAGGCTCAACTCTGTTGCTATCAAACATTTTGTTGGATTTGCTTCGATTTTGTTTAAAGCAAAGCCTTCTGAAATAGAGGATGTTATCAATTTTTTACTTAAATTGCCGTTGTTACACTTTCGGCTGTAAGTAACATTTTCTTTTTACTCTTATTTTAGATGTTCCGTGGTAACTTCGACATTTATCACACAGTGGCCCATAAGATATTGCCCGCCATCAAGGCACGCTACATCAGGATCCATCCGAAGGGATGGCGTTCATACATCGCCATCAGAGTCGAACTTTATGGTGGACGACTGCGAGGTGATTACATGACCAATATTACGGGTCAAATATTTAAATATATGATCCATGGAGATTTAAGCATTTAACACTTCATTTACTTTGTATTCAGAAAACTTCTGCGATGCACCAGTGGGTCTACAATCCGGTCGTATAAAGAACAGCCAAATCACAGCTTCGTCTCAGTGGAACAAGCATCACGCGCCTTGGCTTGCTCGTCTGCACCGGACCAAGAGAGGGCCTTATATCGGATCATGGTCTTCCCGACATAACAACCACAATCAGTGGCTACAAATCGACTTCAGAAGGGCAATGAAGATCACTGGTATTGCCACTCAAGGTCGACAGGATGCTGTCCAATGGGTGACCGCGTATTATATCTACTACGGTTACGATGGCGTTTACTTCTCCCACGTGAAATATTGGTGGAACTATGCTCCAAGGGTAAGATGCTTTTTGAGTGATAATCATTCGGAGTTATGACAATGTAGCGAGCTTGAATGCTTTCTGGTTTGAAGAAAGACATCGATATAGAAGGACTTCGATTTGAAATTTGATTAATGAAATCGTAAATCATTCGGCATCATGACAATATGGTGACTTGAATACATTCTGGTTTTATCAGGACATAATTTGGAGGGATATCGATTTAAAATTTGATTAATGAAATCGGGGCGGATCGACAGAACTACATGGCTTCGGATTCCTTCCCATTCTAATACGCGTGCTTTTTCACCGCCAAAGAAAATTTGACCTAATTTGAGCGAGTGACATAAGTGTCATGACGTTAGTCTCCCACTTTATTATATATTTTCTTGGGTTATTTTATTGAATTTCTCTGACCGCTAAAGCTCTGGTGCGCAAAAGTTACTACCGGATGTTTTAAATGAAATAAACTTGCTGTGGGCTTTGCAGTGTTGATACATTTTCGGATGACAAATGCTCAGTATTTCTTCATGGAAAATTTTGCCACCATCTTGGAGTTTTAGAGCGAAAGGAAGGTTGGATACAGCAAATAGAGTGAGGGTAGACGATTGTTAAGAGGAAGATGTGGTGGAGGGGGTGGGAAATTTAATAGTGGATCCGTGAACGATCGCAGGCTCTAAGGTCAGCTTGTGCACCTGATGAAACGCTTGGCAGCCTCACTTTCTATCACTTTCAGTGCTTCATGCATTTTCATGCCAATACATTATTTTTTGTGTTGTGTCTGTTCTTTAACAGACTTTCCAGGGCAACCGAGATCAACTGTCTGTACAAACACACCCTATAAACCCAGCTATATACGGCCGATACGTGCGAATCATACCACGAGGCTGGAAGTCACATATTTCAATGAGGTTGGAGCTGTATGGAAGTCCTTGGAGTAAGTCTTTCACGAACGCTAGTTTCGTGTGATTTTTGTTTTTGCTGTTTCTTTTGTCTAAAGTAAATTAATGATTTGACCTTGACACCCGGACATCAGTATCCATATTCTCCATATTTCTTCCGAGGTTGGTGATCATCTCCTTTATTCTCATGATCTTCATAAAAGATTCAGCTGTATTATTGTAAGGAGAAATTAGGTGCTGGTCACCTTTAGGGTCTAAAGGTTTAAGAAAGAAATCAATATCACCCGCAGCGTAAATTTCTTTATTCACATTCATACGTTGAATGACTTATAAGGTTTTCATGTATTGAGCTAAATCCATTTGAATCTCACCTCCCAATTTCTTGTGCTCGTTCAACTATCAGTTAATACTACGTTTGTTATTTAAAATTTTCCTCCATTTTTTTAATCATTTAACCCCGCGTGTGACACGAAAAGAACCAAGATGGCGGCGAACTCAAACTTCATATGTTTTGTTGTAGATCGTTGTGATATGCCACTTGGTATCGAGGATAAGCGTGTTCACGACAAAATGATGCGCGCTTCTTCGTATGCCAGGTACTACTGCAGACCAGCGAGTGGACGGCTGAATGGTCGTAGATATGGTCGATACGGAGGGGCCTGGTGCGCAAAGAGACGAGACAGGCGCCAGTGGCTCCAGGTGGATTTCGGCGCACTTACCAAAGTGTCACGTATTGCTACGCAAGGAAGGCAAAACTCCGCTCAATGGGTGAAATCCTACTCTCTTTCATACAGCAAGAATGGATATGCTTATGTACCGTACAGAGTGGGAGGTCGAACAAAGGTTAGCCAGAGAACATTTCAAGAATTTATAATATCCACTAGCTACTCAATGCTCGTATTTCTTCTGTTTTATGTGCCCACGGCTATTTTTCAGAAGCTAGTTGTTCAAGCGCGTGTTAGCGCAAATCCAGGATTAAAAGTTAAACTTGGTTTTGACCTCTCTCGTTTAGAATCACATATTACCACCAACATTTTGTGAGGTCACTCGGTGTTTTCAATGATCCAGCTCAGAGTAACATATAGACCCAGGTGAACTGGAAATGCAGACTCTTTTAAACCAGAAAAAACTTTTTAGCGTTATTTCAACTTTTTCTCCCGAGCTCTTAGTCTAACACATACTTTTACGTCAGGACACTTACCTTTTTTAGCCTGATATTAATGATCTTTCATACCTCCAGATATTCCCTGGAAACTATGATCAGCACGTGATAGTACGCCATAGATTACGTCATCATATTACAGCGCGCTTTTTTAGATTCCATCCCATCACGTGGTACAACTGGATCTCAATGAGAGTTGAACTGTACGGCTGTGTCGTTGGTGAGTTTTCCTCTCCTTTCAGTTTCTAGTTGTGAATTTTTCAGAATGTTTTAGACCGCATTTTGATCAAGTGACGTAAAACCACGACCAAAACAATGGCTAAGTTTACAATCTCTAAACAGAGAATTAAGGTTAATTTCGGCATCAATTGGAAACTTGAATTTCTGATTGTATATTCGGAATTTGAATGAGTCCAGCTAGGTTCGAACCAAGTGCGTTCAGTCTAATGTCCATCGCACTAGCCACTGCCTCCTAGCTTTCTTACTTCGTAGCCACGTCAAAACAGTAAGATCTTCTTTAACACTAAAAAAAAAATACCATTTCTTATCAAAGAATGAAAACCATATCACCTGTATGAGCGTTTATGCATTTGGTTTGTTCTTCTAGGCGCACGTTGCAACAGGCCTCTGGGAATGCAAAATGGTCGCATTCGTGCACACCAACTTACTGCTTCTTCCAGTTGGGACAAGAACCACGCACCCAACTACGGTAGGCTTCATTTCCGCCGCGCTGGTCATCGAATGGGGGCTTGGTGCGCAAGACATAACAACCGTCTCCAGTGGTTTCAGGTTTACTTTGGTCGCCCCACCCGGGTGGTGAAGTTTGCTACACAAGGACGACAGGATGCCCGTCAGTGGGTGACGCAGTATTATTTGACATTCAGTCAGGATGGGGTGCATTCTGCTGAGTACAAAGAAAACAGTAATCGAAAGGTATATCGTGTTCACACGTTGCAAATTTTTGAAAAAATTACATTTTCCAAACAGGGGATCTAAATGGAAACTGAAACCGAAGCAAATAAGAGGTGTCAGCTTTAAAGAAATTTCTCACTTAGTATTGCTTCTGTGGTATCTTTCGCAAGGAAAAGCAAAATCGATTACAAGTAAAAGAGAACAATCTAAGTAAAAGAAAATAATCTATAACTCATCAGTTATAGATTATTTTTATAGTAAATTTTTCGTATTCTTTTGCGTTGAACTTTTGAAGACTTCGCATTTCCTTTGTCAAGAGACTTAAAGTAAGATATAAACTACCTAAACAGCACATTATAATTTTATTATTCATAGCCATATAATTATGGCAACTTTCCTTAAAAGGAGAATTGTAACTTGCAAGGTTTTTTATTCTTTATTTTTTATACACTTCCATGTTAGATTCAATAAAGGTTATTATTATAAAAAAACGTGTATCCATGAGCTTTTCTGGGATTTTTACTAGACATTTTGACGCATTTTGTTTAGATTTTTAAGCATTTTATCCGAACAGAGAGATAGTTATGGTTACAGTTATGGAAGTCAGTAAAATGAGTACCCCGTGTGAGGATCGAACTCACGACCTTCAGATTATGAGACTGACGCGCTGCCTTCTGCGCTAACGAGGAACCCTCATGACACTTATGACAATATATTTGACATGCTCACAACTAAAAGACACAATGACTATATTGCTCTTTTTTATTGCAGTACTTCCAAGGAAACAGAGATCAAAACAGCGTCGTCCAACATCGCCTCTTTCCTCGTATCAAAGCTCAATATATTGAGATCCATCCTTGGGCTTGGTACGGACATATCTCCATGAGGGTCGAATTTTATGGTTGTGCTGAAGGTAAACAAGAAATTCTCCATATTGCCTGCCCTACACCTTGTCCTATTGTTTCTCTAATAATTTGTTGCTAAATCAAATAATATCCCCGCCTTGATAATTTTCTTTCTCCTTGTCGCCTTTCTGTTTGGTGGTGTTTTGATATCGCAAGGATAAATTACTTAAAAATATGTTTTATAAGAAATAATTTTAGTTTAAATTGTTATTGTAAATAAGTTTAGTTAGTTTATTGTGACTGAAAAGCCCTGTTGAAGGGAGTTCCAATAAAGTATGTATGTATGTATGTATGTATGTATGTATGTATGTATGTAATAATTTCAATATATCAACAAAGTTGAAATGGTAAATTGGCCACCGTTACGATTATTAAAGCTGACGTTTCGAGCGTTAGCCCTTCGTCGAGCGTTAGCCCTTCGCTCCGACGAAGGGCTCACGCTCGAAACGTCAGCTTTTATAATCGTAACGGTGGCCAATTTATCATTTCAACTTTGTTGATATATTGAAATTATTTCGTTACCTCCACCGACGCAGTCCCAAAGAGCTTCTTTAGAAACTATCAGCCTTTATTCACATGTATGTATGTACTTATCGGTTTTCATGGAAGTGAAATTGTTACGATGTAATGCCGAGGACGATCTATCGTTCAGTGTTTGGCTCAGGAAAGTTTCTAGTCCTCTCTCTAAAAATATAAACAAGCAATCTATGAAGTACGATTTCTTTATTATGACAAGCGTTGTGCGTGAATTTTTGATACTTGAAAGAACCTTCTTTTCGACCTGCGTCAAGCCCTATCGGATTTCATATGAAGCTCGTATCTACTTGGCTTTTTTCTCTCTCGTCAGGGTTCAGAACAAAAGAACCTAACCAGTCTTTCTTCTTCCAACACTTTCAGATCGCTGCGTTATGCCTCTTGGTTTGGAAGATAAACGTATTACAGACGGCTCTCTCACCGCATCCACTTACTACAATCATCACCTCTCTCCATGGCACGGCCGACTGAACAGCCGCTGGTCATGGAGTGTGCGCCGCAACCGCAGAGGGCACTGGTTCCAAGTGAACTTTGTTGAGCTAATGCACATAAAAGGCGTGGCTACTCAGGGAAGGCAGGACGGTTCTCAGTGGGTAAGAAGCTACACAATTATGTACAGTGTGGACGGAATGAATTTCGTGCCTTACAAGGAAGGACGTACCACTAAGGTAACTATATTATCTCGTTACGGCTTTATGCACATTCTAGTGAGTTTTTCAAAGGTAGATATATGTAGTATACAAGTGAAACCGTATGGTATTGAAAAGTGCGCGAGTGTCATCGAGCTTATGTTTTCGCAGGACAAGGTTTTCAACATATCTAGAAATATTTCCGCTTCGAATTTAGTCAAGATAAGTAGAAAATTCCGTGTTTGAATTAAATTGTGCTTTATTCCAGTACGCTTTGCGTATTTGAATACTGCGATGGTCTCAAGTGTACGGCTGAGAAATGCAAGTTTACATTTAAACTCTGATTTTGTACACTTTTATGTCCTATAAGCGTTAAGTATAAACCAGTATTGACGAAAATAACAGAGATAACAGAAATGTCTTTTTTTCTTTAATAAGAGAATGCTCCTCTGATTTAAATAAGAAACTCAATCAAGAGCACACTCAGTCATTTACATGTGTATTTTTATCCTCTTTTGTGTTTTACGGCTTACTTACAAGAATCGTGGTTTTATCTTAGATCTTCAATGGAAACACAGACCGCCATTCCATCGTGTATCACCAGTTCCTCAAGCCCTTCACGGCCATAAACGTTCGCTTTTATCCAATAACCTGGTACGGTTGGATATCTATGAGAGCTGAGGTTTATGGCTGTTCAGGTACGACTTAGCTTACTGGGCAAAATGTCTAAACGATATCTCGTTTCTCGTGTGTCATTAACCGAGTAAATCGTTGTTCACTGTTTTTTGTCCGATTGTACAGCTTCTCCGTGTAACAAACCTCTGGGATTACAAAATCACCGTCTTCCCAACAGCCGTATTACAGCATCATCGGAATGGAATCAGTTCCACGCCGCAAGACTTGGGAGACTGGGTCAAGTCAAACGTGGAAAATATGTGGGGGCCTGGTGCACACGGCATAATAATCACTTACAATGGTTCAAGGTTGACTTTGGTCGACCAATGAAAATCACTAAAGTAGCCACTCAAGGCCGACAGGATACGAACCAATGGGTAACTTCGTTCTATCTGTGGTCAAGTCAGGATAACGTGCACTGGGAGGCATACAAGTTTAGAAGCGCATACAAGGTGAAGAAAGATGTCAGATTTAATCTGTATTAATCTTCCGTCTCCTGCATCTATTAATTAGTTAATTTGGTTAGTCAGGGGACGTTAAAGAACCCACTTACAAGATTACTGTAATGTGGACTGGCCTGGTTACTGGGAATTGGGCGGGGAGGGGGCATCATCATAAGTTTCCTTCCATTGATTGTAAACTGCTGATGCAGTCCGGCCAAAGTCCCCCGAAAAGTGTTGTGATGCGCATTTGATCATATCCATATGTTAATTTGCGCAATAGAAGTAATAATTATTAATCAATCTATTTATAATTAGTGTTTTAGGGTTTTCAGAATTCTGCCCGAACTGTTCAAATAAATGATTTACACCAGAAGTTCACTTGAGAACGTTTTTGTAGGACCTGTTGAGGAACTTCGCTGCGTGAAAATAAGAAAAAAGTACGAATGAGTTTTTCAGACCTTGGTGCTCAGCGAATGTGACTCTAAACCGGAATCAGCGCGATTGCGGGACACTGGATTTGTGGTTATAGGCCAATGATCTTTATATTTATCAAACGATCATGATTATCATTTTACTCCTGCAGCTATTCCAAGCCAATCGTGATCAAAACAGCATCGCTAAAAATGCCATCAACCCACCAATCTTAGCCAGATATGTCAAACTTAACCCACGTGGCTGGTACAGACACATTTCAATGAGGATTGAGTACTATGGTTGTGTCGCTGGTGAGTAAGTTGTTTTTATCTCGACCATTCACCACCGATAAGAATCCAACAAAACTGCTTTGTCTCCTATCTCTGTTTGTGACGTTTATCCACCAGTCTTTATTTAACCCTCCCGATTCTAGGAATGACGAAAAAGATGACTTCTACTTTTCAACGGTAGTACAATGACTAGAAGACAAATGACAAGGGGCAATATTTCATTTGCACCAAATTCTCCAAAGAAAATAGTAGGTACAAAAAGGGTACGTGTGTTGGATAAACTCATCAACATGAACGGACATGAGCCGTTACCACATGTGTCCCATACAAAAAAAAGATAAGAAAAAATGTAAGAAATCTTGGGAGTATAGGAATCAACGCTAGACCGAAACGGTAAAGATAGTTAAGGGCGTCGAAAACTGACACGCTTTGAATGGTGAACTTGAAAAGTTTAGGCGAAATTTTCAAGAAGGAAAAGTCGTGTCTTAGACCTTTAGGAGAGTTCAAACAAAGTTACTCTTACAATCCAGATCGTTGTGATGTTCCTCTTGGAATCCGAGATGGTCGCGTGACACGCGCAATGTTCACTGCCTCTTCCATGTACAACCACTACTATGGTCCTTGGAGCGCAAGACTGCAGGCTCAGAATCGTGGCTCCACCAGAGGAGGTTGGTTGGCTAAGTACCGCAACACTCGTCAATGGCTGCAGATTGACTTAGGATCTACTTCCAGGGTGAAGAGAATAGCTACCCAAGGCCGGTATGATGCCCACCAGTGGGTGAAGTCTTACACTGTGTCGTACAGCAACAACGGTGTGAGGTTCTATCCTTACAAACAAGGCAGGAGAGTAAAGGTTGGCGAGTGCTTATGCAATTTCTTGAAGAAGCTTCAAAGAGATCTAAGATCTTTTGTAATCTCCGTAATGAAATACACTTGAGTCTTTGTTATATTTACGTTGTGTAGTTTGCGGAATGAGTTTGGAGCTGCCCACATATAAAGGCTTCTTTTTTTCCTTTACCTCTGGTGGTGCTGTTGCTCTAACTGCTACAATTTCGCAGAGTCGTCAACTGTCTATCTTAATTGAAGACATGCTTGTTGGGTTTACGTATTGCGCAGTCCTTGGATGTCTCGAGATACATCAGAGGCGCACTAGAGAAAATTAATTCTGTCCGAATTACATGAGAAACCGACGCGAGGAGATGTCTCGGTTGTGATTAAAGTATAACTTACACGCCAAGGTGATTAAGTTCCCCTCCTTACTTTTTACCAATGGTGTTATAACTAGCCAATCAAAAGACACATGCTCATAGAAAATTTTCTTGTCTAGATATTCCAAGGGAACACCGAGAGGTATTATGTGGTTTACCACAGGTTTCGTCCGACCATCAAGGCCCGCTATATACGTATTCACCCAAGGACTTGGTACAGCGGGATCTCTATGAGGCTTGAACTTTACGGGTGTCGACTAGGTATGTGTAGCTTTAAGTATATGAAGTATCCGAAGCCAAATTGCCCAGAGTGCTGGCAGGGTATGCAATATTTGCAGGGTATGCAATATATTATTCCAAAAATGAAAGGTTCAGGTGTCGTAGGGAGTTACACTGCTCTTTTTAATAGCCTCTTATTTTTCTCCTGACTAGGTGTCCTCTGCAACCGACCACTGGGAATGCAGACAGGGCGCATCAAGAACCGCCAAGTCACGTCGGCATCCATGTGGGACCAATTCCATGGCCCTTACCTTGCGAGACTCCACCGGCCGCGTCGGGGACGATACATTGGGGCCTGGGCAGCAAAGTACAATAACCACTATCAATGGCTGCAAGTGGACTTTAAGAGAGCTGCGAAGATCATCAAGATATCTACACAGGGACGGCAAGATGCTTACCAGTGGGTGACACAGTATTATATTACCAGGAGTCTCGACAGAGTTCACTTTATGCCATATATGGAGAGGAATAGCATTAAGGTATGGGCCTTAATAAGAGTCCAGAACTGGTGCGAAAATATTCGGCACAGGGCGCTGATCGTCTGTGTTTCAGTAACAGCTAAACCTTGACTTAGTTGTAAGGTTTTTTTGGCCACAAACTCCTCTTGGTCAGGTGGTCCAGTTATTAAAGCACTTTATTATATGGCTGGGTCTCACAAGGACTGGGAACTACCGAATTCACGAATTTGATTGGCTGAAATCAATATTGAAAGCGGTCTAGATTTTCCCATCTAGACCGGTCTAGAAAAAAAGGTACAAAGAATATAAAAAATTGGCATATGATACAGCCATATAATAGACATCTTATTAACCGAGGTAGGTTGGTCTGTATGGGAGAATCTTGACCTCGGTCGCTGGTACAGACCTCACTGCGTTCAGTCTGTACTGGCGATCTCGGTCAAGATTCTCCCATACAGACCTCCCGCTCGATTAATAAGAACTAAGGAATTCCGCCTTTTATCATGGTCACTCGATGGTAGATCTAGATATCCTAAAACTAGTAAGGCTTTCAGTTTGAGATTTTCCGACAGTAAAGCAGTTTTGTGCGCGCGAACCAGCGTCATTTTGCGAGATAAACGCAGTTGCTTTTATCATTATAGAAGGAGTCTTGGCGAAAATGGTAAAGTAAAAAAATATCCTGGATATATCAACAAAGTTGAAATCGTGAATTGGCCACCGTAACGATTACAGAGCTTTTGTAATCATTACGGTGGCCAATTCACCATTTCAACTTTGTTGATATATCCAAATTATTTCGTTACTCCCACCGACGCAGCCCCAAACAGTTTCTTTCGAAACTATCAGCCTTTATTAAAAAAATATCCACACGTTAGCAGTTTTATTTTTTCCCCTTTTTTTTCGGAAAGAGCTAAGTATCGCTCGATACCTTTATGGCTAACTTTGTGCTTGAGTGGACCTTCTCGATACACATATAACCTTGCATAGAGCGCTAAAAATTGCATACAAATCTCGCCCCGGCAGCAAAAGCGCACCTCACTGAGACTCTTCACGAGTATTTGATAGGAAACAGTTCAGTCTAAATCTTACTAAAAATATATATTCATGGTCTTTCATCTGTTACAGTACTTCACGGGTAACCGTGACCAAAATACTGTTGTCACGAACTCCTTTGTTCCCATACTGCGTTGTCGTTACATCCGGGTCCGTCCCAGAGGATGGTACAAACACATATCCATGAGAGTAGAGTTTTACGGTTGTGTTACAGGTGGGTATCCTTCACATTGGACGCACTTCAAGTTGACAAATTATGGTGACGCTTTAGCAAGAAATTAACTTGTCCTTTGTTTCTGTTTTGCTCTTAAGATCGGTGTGTTATGCCTTTGGGTATGGAAGATCGTCGTATCTTATCTGGTCGTCTTCGCGCCTCTTCGTCGTACAATTACAACCATGGACCCGACCGAGCGCGTTTGAACATCATCAACGGTCATGGACGAACAGGGGCTTGGGTGGCCAGGCATCGAAGTACCAATCAATGGCTACAGATTGATTTGGGCCAGAGTAGTATCTTGAAAGGAATCGCTACACAAGGGAGGAGAGAAGCTAATCAATATGTGAGAAGCTATACGCTCTCATACAGTCGTTTTGGAATGAGATTCAAGGGTTATGTGTCCTATGGAAGAGTCAAGGTACGGACAATCAAGCTGTGAATTTTTTCCTAAAGCATTTCACCCTAAGATCGGTACGCATATTCCGCATACTGTTCACAATACACTTTCTGTATTACTAATAAGGAGATTCTGTTTTACTGTCAAGAACTTAAGCCTAATGTTGGAGATCATGTTAGATTTTCGTCAGTCTTAGGGGTTAGAGGGTTGAGGCATACAGGGATACAGAAAAACCACAGTTTCATTAGATGTGTGACGATTACTTGAACTGAAGTTGGCTTCAGTTATTGGAAAGAAATCAGACACCAACGGATATAGTGGAATTCACTTCGTAACCATTTAGTTTGTGGCTACAGTTACTTTTCTGTGATCTCTACAGGTATTCCGAGGTAACTACGACATTTATCACACGGTGGGGCACAAGATCATGCCAGCAATAAAAGCACAGTTTGTCCGAATTAACCCACGGTCGTGGTACAGCTATATAGCCATGCGTGTGGAACTTTATGGATGTCGTCTACGCGGTAAGGCTTAAGTTTATAAATTAAGGTTACAAGTTCTTTAACTAATTCTCAGGCTATGGAGAAGTAAACCCTTTAAGGATATTCTTCACTACAGATCTGAAGCTAAAAAAAATTGAAAAATCTGCTAAAGACGTTTTGCATTTCTGAAAAACTTTTGTTCGTAACGCTTGAAAGTTAATGGCTATTTTTAAAAGCCTATAACTTTAAAGCACACAAATGGAATAGGAATATGTCCCCTCGAGGAACTTACCTTGTCTATTTACTCCAGAACGATTTTACGACAGTCCTCTTGGCCTTCAAAACAATCGAATCAAAAATGCTGCCATCACAGCCTCGTCTCGGTGGGATGCGAACCATTCCCCTTGGTTGGCGCGACTTCATCATCCGCGTCGAGGTCGGTTTATTGGGGCCTGGTCTTCTCGACACAATAATCATAACCAATGGCTGCAGGTGGATCTCGGAAGGTCAATGAAGGTGACGGGAATTGCGACTCAGGGTCGATACGACGCTGACCAGTGGGTAAAGGCGTACTATCTGTATTACAGTGCAGATGGAGTCAACTTTGCTAAAGTAAAGCACTGGTGGAATTATGTTAAGGTACGTTAGTCATCAGTTTGCAAATTCTCAGTGCTGTTTTAAATCAAATTAAAGCAGAAAGGAAAAAAAAATTTTGAAAATATTAGCCAGGGGATATCGAGATAAAACACCAAATTCCTTGAACCAGTCAACAAGTGAATGGTTTGTTTGTCTGATTATTATTATTTTATAGAACATTAGAAGCAAATTTACACGACCGGCATATAGCATTAGCTAATCTTGGCGGGTATTAGTAATAAATAAGTAAATACTACACATTGCAAGCTAAAGAAGTTTCATTACCACAATAAACTAAAGAGATTTTACAATAAACTAAAGAGATTTTACAATCAGCTAAAGAGATTTTACAATAAACTAAAGAGATTTCATTACTACAATGTTATCGGGGTTATAAGCCATGTATTAGTTTACTACATTATAAGCTAAAAGATACGTACAGTTGGGAAATAATATGGGACCATCGCAGCATATCACTACTGCCTCTTTTCTACGACCACGTTGATTATATTGTTTCGCCCTTCAATGTTCATCAAGTCGTGAAGCTCGACCTAAACTCCAACAGCTCCATCGTTTATCATATTGCAAGTGACCTCAATCACAGTTCATCCTCTTTTCTCAGTCCTATTTGTGGACAACTTAACGTTGTACACTAATTATCAACTGCGAATGCTAAAACAATTTTCTTTGTGTCCATAGACTTTCCAAGGGAATCGAGACCGACTGTCTGTCCAAACACATCCAATTGATCCACCACTGTACGGGCGATATGTTCGAGTCATACCACGAGGCTGGAGGTCACACATTTCCATGAGACTGGAATTGTATGGAGCACCATGGAGTAAGTTTTGCAACCTACCTATGACCGAGTTCGAGGTCCGTAATGTAGATTTCGCACCCGAGTTTTTTCGCGCGCGGGCCATAAATCCCGATGGAAACATTGAAAATTCTTGTTAACTGATAAACAACATTTTTGTTTTAGATCGTTGTGATATGCCACTCGGTGTAGAGGACGGCCGTGTTCCAGATCCACTCATGCGCGCCTCGTCTTTCTACAACTACTACTGCAGCCCATTCAATGGCAGACTCAACAGACGACGTTATGGAAGATACGGAGGGGCCTGGTGCGCAAAAAGACGGGATAGACGTCAGTGGCTGCAAATAGATTTTGGCGCGGCTACCAAAGTATCACGTGTTGCCACTCAAGGAAGACAGAACTCCGCTCAGTGGGTGACGAGTTATTACATATCGTACAGTAAGAATGGGTATAAGTTCACTCCTTACAGAGAAGGCAGGCGTACCAAGGTAAAATCATCTTTTGAATAGTCGACGATTGATATTTTTTTGATGCATTACTATGCATATTCTCTATACTATTCTCTATACATTTCTCATGGTTCAGAACAGGAGAATGTTATTAACAATCAAGATCGTCACAGGTCGGTGTTTAGTTCTTTTATTCATAAGACCATAATGTTTGATTCGGCGGTGATATTGAAGGAGAGAACTAAGTGCGAGTCACCGGAATGACTTGCTCAGTGCAAATCACTGACCATCTAAATATTTAAAAAACAAAAAATTGTTTGTTTGTTTTGTCGTTGTTTTTTAAGCTCCTTTCCAATACTTTCACTTGATTTTTGCCATAAATTGGTGAAACAAAATCTCTCAGAAACTTAAGAATCAATTTACTATCTTATCTTTCAGATATTCCAGGGTAATTACGATCGCTACATTATCGTTCGTCACAAACTAGCGAAGCCAATAACAGCGCGCTTCTTCAGAATTCACCCAGTCACGTGGTACAGCTGGATCTCAATGAGGGTAGAATTTTATGGTTGTGTTGTCGGTAAGTGTACCCTTACATCCGGGCATAAGTAATAGTGGGTAAATCATAGGTAGCATGACTTGATTAAAAATTTCTTAAATTTTTTGTCTGTTTTAAGGACCAAAATGCGACAAGCCTCTAGGACTGAAAAATGGCCGCATTCGTGCAAACCAGCTTACTGCTTCTTCCAGCTGGGACAAGAACCACGCACCTAACAACGGCAGGCTTCATTTCCGCCGTGTTGGTCATCGAATGGGGGCTTGGTGCGCGCGACATAACAACCGTCTCCAGTGGTTTCAAGTTTTCTTTGGTCGCTCCACTCGGGTGGTGAAGATTGCTACACAAGGACGACAGGATGCCCGTCAGTGGGTGACTCAGTACTATTTGTCATACAGTCAGGATGGAATACATTATGCAGAATTTAAGGAGAACAGCAATCGAAAGGTATGAACTCCTTTTCATTCATCATCTAGCGTGCTTTAAGTTTGTCCACACGATATAATCGCATTGCTTTTAATGAACCTTTTTCACTCGGTAAAAGTCATATTAGTTTGAAATTTGTGTGAAATAAAGTATGAAAATTAAAAGGAATTTCTTAAATTAATGCATCCATTGAATCATAAGATAAAACAAAGGGTGCCATATATCTGGAAATTGTTCTTAGAAATCACTCTTTCAAACTCTGATGAGGTCAAATCCTGCGATTTTCATTTTAATTAAGCACTGTATTAACTACTTGTCTTCTCACTGGCTAAGAGCTTGTTCTAATCATCTGGTATCAAGGAACCGTAGTAAAAATTTACTAACAGATATCTCTCTGTGTTGAAGTCAAATCCTGCGATTATCATTTTAATTATGTAATGTCTTAGTTATGTCTTCTCATTGGCTAAGAGCTCGTTCAATTTACTTCAAGACATCTCTCACTTGGTAGTTAAGAAACAAAGTTTGCTCGCTAAGGCCCAACTTATTTTGTATCTAACATGTGAACTTTAGAAGGTCTCTAAATACCGGTAAGCTCCGTGATATATCTTCCAGATATTTGTAGAGGACAAATCTGGCAGATATGCTCAAATGTCTGATTGATATGTAGCTTCAGAAAGCAGTATCCACGGAATCGTGGTATTTCGCAGCTTCCTTGGCATTCTGTCAATAAATTTCTCCATGACGACTTTTCATTTCTTTCACTGAAATTATTCGCTCTGGTCTTATAATGGTAATTTTCTGCGATATGCAGCAAGAACGTAAAATGTTTCTAAATCCTTGGCGATAGCTTTGTACAAATGGCAAGCAAATCGAGAGATTTACGACAGTCGATGCGTAAAGCAAGACCACGTCATAGCTGTCGAGAATGATTTTGGCTGCTTGGAATTTCTTCAGGAGTTACTAACGTTGTCGTGTTAGGAGCCAGTGACATGATACTCTCTTAGTGAGGTTTGTGATAGTGGCTTTTGATTCCTTTTTTGGATATCCGCACCGGTGCAGTGGAATTTTTATGCTCGAACGTTGCTTTTTGTAACTCTCTAGCTCGGCAAAATTGGCCTCTGTTTTGAATGAGATGATAGGAAATTTACTCTCTCTAACATTGCACAATTTTTCCCCTTATTCAAGAGCTAAAATCATATTTTGCATTTTGATTGTCTTATTGCATTTGTCTTTTGACAAAGGAGAGAGAGTTGTTAGCCTTCATATTTTTTATTTACATTTCATTCTCGATGACACCAAGCCGCGGGATTTCAAACACGAACCAATTTCAACTTTCCTTAGGTTTCCGTCAAACATTCGCTGTAAACTCACCCTAGATAATCTGGGGCAGTTTTCGTTGTCCTGCAAGGTATTTACTAAATTATTTTACCCTCGATAGCTCAAATTATGTTTGTGACAACGTGACAAGTCAAAACAAACAATGGTGTAGTCCACGATACTAAATTATTTTGAAGCACCGTTGCATTCTCTCTCCTATATGTCCTCTCTTTTTTTATTATTCAAAACACATAGCGTGTTTGTCAAGTCAATTTTCACTGGCGTAGGTTACACTAAGCTGCAATGCATTTCACCCTCAGAAAGCTTTGCCGTTTAAATACCATCATTCCTTAGTTTTTTTTTTTTTTTTTTCATGAAAATGTTCCATATTCTCTCGTTGTCTTTTTATTATATTGTATTTATAGAGTTATGAAAACACCTTATGTTCCTTATTTCTATCTATTTGCTCTCAACTCCCGATAAAGTGAACTCGCGATGTCTGGAATATGTCTCACTCTTACCTTAACAGAAGCAAGTTATCGAAAATTGACCGGCGCTGTATAATTATTCAAAACGATTACCCTCACTACTCATACGAGCCGCCTCGATGCCGGCCATACAACAAATTTTATCTACGATAATTTACTGACTGCAAATGAGATTCAACTCTTTCCATTTAGCCAGGTCCTTTTTTAAAAGATTAAAACATGAGTAAATCATGTTTGATCAGTTTCTTTGCAATTTGGAGCCACCTGTTACAACTGTTCGCGTTAAATCGCGCGTCCGCGGGTTAAAATTTGAGAAGTTAGTAGTTTCAAACAGAGTACGCCAGGTGTGTCAATTGATGATTTTGAGCTTGAATGTCGATTGTGTCAATAGACTAACATAGGTGATGATTTTGAGCTTGAATGTCGATTGTGTCAATAGACTAACATAGGTGATGATTTTGAGCTTGAATGTCGATTGTGTCAATAGACTAACATAGGTGATGATTTTGAGCTTGAATGTCGATTGTGTCAATAGACTAACATAGGTGATGATTTTGAGCTTGAATGTCGATTGTGTCAATAGACTAACATAGATGATGATTTTGAGCTTGAATGTCGATTAAGGAGTGACGTTATCCATTTATTTGTCCCTCGCTCAGATACGGTTCTTCGGTTTTTTTTCCTTCATATCTTTCGTTCTATTTTTTGAGGAAAGTTACTTTGGGATGGGTTTTTTGGAGTAGAGACTACATTTTACTTCTTTATTACAATTAAATGTGATAGACACAACGCAACATCAAAACAATAAACATTTGTGTTAGAAGTAATTGTGATTGAAAAAAATTTTCAATTAAGTGTCGAAAGTAATCCAGGTTGCTTTGGCTTTTCATTTTATTTCGTCTTTTGATTGGTCCAGAAAACTCGCGCCATTTTCTTTAGACCCCTGGAGACGAATTTGTGTCAACAGGGCATTGAAATATGTGAACGTTCATTTGCATCGGCGTCACTGGTCTGTAAATCCAACACAGCGTTTTTCAATTGCAGTGCCTTGAAGAAAAGGCCTTTAGTACTTGGCTGTGCACTGTGAAACAATGGAACACAATTAGGGAACACGTGGAGTTTTTTCTTTTCCTTTTTTTTTTTCGCAGATTTGTCTTTCCTTTGGTTACTTAAATCTTGTTGATCACATCTTAAACTGGCAATCTTCTCTTGTTTGTTAAAATCTGTTCTTGAAAATGGTACATCTTTGTTAAGGAAACTAATGTTTGATAGTGATCTGATGCCACAGTTATTTCTCGTACAGTCTTAAAACACTCCATATTCTTTCTTGGACTTTCCTAAGGCAGATCAGAATGAAATAAAAGCACAATTTGTTTTCTTTTGATAAGCTTAATCTAATGTTTTTTTCATGATCTGCTACTTCCGTAGTGCGACGATTGTTTACTCCTGCTCTATTCTGTACAAAATGCTAAGATCGCCGGATACACTCAAATGTTTTTAGAATATGCTAGGGCCGACTAAAGCACATATTATCTGTAAATTTACAATGCAGTATCCACTTTTCCTTCGTTATTTGCCGACACTTTACAACTTTGTCGATAGCTGTAGTTTGGTCTTGATAAAGAGTTCATTTTTTTTTGGAGTTATTTGCCCTTGTTTGCTGTCTCATTTCTCCGTTTCCAGAAGCAAAGGCTTAAAATATTACTTAATCCTCGGCGATAACTCTGCACAAATGACAAGAAAATGAAGGGGTTGATGGTAGTCGATAAGTAATAGCAAATTTCTCCCGTAATCATCAACACTTCAAACATTGTGCAGGAAAGTGGCAAAACTTTGTTAAGATGGAGACGAACAATCATTGCTGGGGAAACGGATAGGAAATACGTCACCATGGTAACAACTGACAATCGGATGGCTCTTTTTCTTTTCTCGAAAACATTTCGTTGAATGTTTGGACCAGAATTCGCCAGAGCTTTACTTTGCTTACGTAAGGCAGCAGTTATGGCTGTGTATAAAAGTGTTGTTAAACACAACGGGACGAAATAAAAGAAAATCGATTGGAACCAATCATATATTGCGAAATCTTTTTGGCCGCTGATGGAAATGAATGCCGTGCGTTTACAGAAAGTATGATTTACTTCTATATGAAGATCCTGGCCAAGAAGGAATGTAAAATTAAAAGCGGCAGCTAGACTCCAAGTAGAAGCGATGGCTATAAAACGTATCTTTCTAGAAATAAGCCCTAGTCTTACTGGAAACAAAAAGGCGACGAATCTGTCAATTGCTATCCAGACGAAGCTTTGGGAGGATACGTGAACAGAAACGTGAGCAACAAAGTATATAAATTTACAAGTAATCGATCCAAAGATCCCGCCAACGTGCCAATACTCTGAAATGGAACCGTTGGCGTTTCCAACAATTTGTACGGGGAGCCAAGCTAACGGGAAAACGAGATCAGACAGAGCCATGTTTACAATGAAATAGTTCACTGTTTTGTGTAAATCCTTGTGTTTGTAAACGATAATGATTATGAAGATATTCCCGCAAAGGCTGCACAGTAAAACTGAGCAGTACATAAAAAGTTTGAAGTTGTCCACTGCAGCAGGTAGCTCTTGGTAAGAACAGTTCGTTTGCTGATGATTATGTTTTGACCCATCGGGATCTTGCGTTGTATTTTGTTGCAATAGCATGGATGTTATTCTGTCTGGTCTCAAGGAAGCGGTATAACCTTCATTTTGCCTCGAAAGGGCCCTGAAAAACCTTTTGACATTTTTGAAGTAAATATCAACCTTGTTTCCTTGTCCTTCAGAACAGACAAGTTTGTCTTACGGTGTGAATTTGGTTATGTGCCTCTGTTAATTAGAAAATCTCAATATAAATATTGGTTCTGTCGCTTCCAGGAGAGAAATTAATCGAGCTGTAGGGTGCTTTTCTCTTCAATTTAATATTGTTTTTCTGCATGTTGTAGTTATTGGGTCGATATGGAAAACACCCCCGACTGAATTTGAGCCTGAACATAAGAGTGCATTTTTAATTTACGTTTTTCAATTTGTTGAAAAAATTAATCAGCATATGACTTCATTACAGTTCTTTTCCTTTGTTGTTGTTCAATGAAGTCTCTAAATTCAATTTGAGATTACATTTCCTTTGATTCGCAAACAGTCCACAATAGCTATTTCCGAGACAGATGAAGGGCAAGTAGACTGACAGGTTATTTAAATATAGCGTAAGAAAATAAAAAAGATTAATAACACGTAATGTAAAATGATTTTTAAAAAGTGCCATCATACAGATATTGAACAACAATGTTCAGTCCACTAAATTTCTGGGTCTGGCCGGCAAGAGGAAAAGCAGATTGGTTTCGGACCGGAATGCCTGTACGCTTCTGAATGAGTCAAATTTGCCACTGATAGTGAATGGGTACGTGTTATTCGAGAATTTGACTTCGGAGCCAATTCAAATCTTTTTGTTCAAACCATGCAGTTCATGATAATGATACGTCATGGTTGGGAAAAGTCACTGAGAAGGGTTTGATGCTGATAATGTCAAGGCATTTCTTATGTAGTCTTCTAAAAGGCTATTTCTAGTGTTTGTTTATGATCTGCTGCCTCCTCACGCTGCGATCGTTTTCTCCACGGAGATTTTTCATTTCTTTTAAACTAATTCGCTCTAGTTTTGCTGTCACATTGCTCCTTTTCTGGAGCAGGAACATGAATGTTAGACGAGCCAACTTAGATAGAGAAGCGCAAAGGTACATCGGTGATGTAAAGGCAGTAGATGTCTTTTCACCCTTTGCACCCAAATATCACGATCCAAACTCTCCCTACTGTTCTGTATACATTTCCTGTGGAGAATTTGGCCGAAACTAAGAGCTTCTTTGGTTGGCGATCCTTTCTTTTATTCTCGCGAAATTACTGCAGTATCGCAAGGAGAAGAAATTAAATGCATGTTACTCTCAAGAGTTAAGTTAATTACTCTGAGTCAAGAATTAATGATCGTAGTTCGCAGTATCAACTTCTAGTATTCCCTCACCTGCAACAGTAAATTCCGTTCCACGCAGTAGTGAGGCATGATTGCCCGATAATATTGGAAAATTTATTTTCGTTTTATATCCTTTGCTCTTGGTCAATGACTACACTTCTATTTCATTCGACCAGCTAAGAACTGATTCTTCTAACACTGTTTTACGAGATCTTAAATATTATTTATTTTTGCTCTTTTCTGAGATCGAATTCACCCAAATCTTTTCAGTAGAACTGAAGACTTAAGGTGAGCAAGGGTCGACCCGACGTATGTGCACAACATCTGTTGACTGATTTACATGATTTACAAAGCAGTATCCAGAGTTTCTTCGTTATGTGCTGACACATTATAATTTCGTCGATTCCTGTAGTTTGCTCCAGATGGAGAGTTAATTTCTCTTTGGATCGTCTGCTTTTGATTTGGTGTCTTCTCTCTTCGCTTCCTAAGGCAATAACATAAGATAATTCGTAATCCTTGACGATACCTCTGAACAAACGACAAACAAATGACAGGATTGATAACAGTCGATCCGTAATAGCAAAGATCCCCCATAAAACCCACTAATTTCATTATAATACAGGGAAATCGCAAAACCTCTATGTATAGCAAATGAGAAAGCACGGGTATGGTAACGACTAGGTAATACGTCACCATGGTAACAGCTGACAGTTGAATAGCCCTTTTTCTTTTCTTGAATATGTTTTGTTGAATATTTTGGCCGGAATTAGCCAGCGCTTTACTTTGCTTGTGTAACGAAGCAGCCATGGCTGTGTACAAAACTGGTGATAAAAACAACGAACCGAAAGTATTAATAAACAATTGCACCCATAAAAGTATTACAAAGTAAGCTCCTTCTGTGGCGGTGGAAGTTAATGTCACTCCACAAAAGCTGTTATTGTCCCTAATGTGAAGTTCCTGACTTACAAGATGATTAGAACTAATAGCGGCTGCCAGAATCCAGGTAGAAGCAATGGCTATGACTCGCGTCTTTCTCGAAACAAGTCCAAGTCTCACCGGTAAAACAACGGCTATAAATCTGTCAATCGCTATCCAGACAAAGCTTTGGGAAGAAACTAGAAAGGAAACTGGGGCAATGAAATTTATAAACTTGCAAGTAATTGATCCAAAGGTCCCATCAGTGTACCAACGCGACTTGGTAGAACCGGTCGCCATTGAAACAATTTCAATGGGAAGCAAAACCAATGGCGAAACGAGATCAGAAGCAGCCATGTTTACGATGAAGTAGTTGACTGTTTTTTGTAAATCCCGGGTTTTGTAAACGATGATGATTATAAAGATATTCCCGCAAAGGCTGCCTAGCAAAAGACAGCAGTACATAAAAAGTTTGAAGTTTTCCACTTCGGTGGGTAGGTCTTGGTAAGAACAGTTCTTTTGCTGACGGTCATGTCTTATCACATCTAGAACTTGCAATAGCGTAGTATTTTGTGGAAACGACATGGATGTTACTCTGACAGGTTTCAAGGAAGCGGTGTATTCTACTTTTGACAGGACTTTTAAAAACCTTTTGACTTTTGTGAAGTAAACTTGAACTTTGCGTGTGTCTTACGATATGAAGTATTGGTAATGTGCCTCTTTCAATAAGAACAGCTCAGTATAACTCTTTTCGGCAGTGGTGTTTAATAATTAATGGTCATTTCTCAAGCAATCTTATCCTGTTGTTTTGCATATTGTAGTTATTGGGTCTTAATGGGGAAAACACACACTACTGAACTGTGCCATCTGAATAAACAGAGCATATTGAACCTGCACTTTTGGTTAAGATTACAGTTTTAAAAGAAAAAGATTTTCTTGACATAACACAGATAATAAATTATTATCATCTTTGTTCTATTTCTTGACTTTGAAAAAGGAAAGATAACAAATTCTGAAAAACGGGTACACATTTACAAATTAATACGAACAGACCTCTAATGTCTCTATAAAATAAAACCACACCATGCGACAGAGCTAATTATAACAAAAATCATGGTAAAAATGATAATATAGGAAAAAACCTTGACCCATGTACACGGCACGTTTCTAAAAATAAACCCCCAAGCACTCACGAAAAAACATCGTTACAAAGGAAGCGGGACTTGAACTGACAAATTCTTGCAGGGTTAACACTTATTCTAAAATCATTTAAGACTTCTTTGCATTACCAAATGGCGTTCTAGAGCCTCTGACATTCATATACACGGATCTCAGTATCTCAAATGATTAAAGCGTCCTTAGCTAAGGGATCACTAATGCGTAGGGTTCTCTATTCTCTTTGACAGCCTCTCTGCGAGGTTTCTAAGGAACATTTAACATTCAGCTCCCATTTTTAATTCTTACATTTTACAAATAACAGTAGAACTCTAGAGTACGAGCACTCCCTCCTTTTCGGCGAAGTCCTTCGGGCGAGTCAAAAAAATCAGTGTAAAAAAAATATTGGAGTGACGTTGACGCGCCGCAAGAGCTCCATGAGTAAGGCACTCAAAAAGTACTTCTTTTTTCGAGCGCCTCACTCATGATGCTCTCGCAGCCCATCGGCATCATTCCGCAGCGCGTTTACATCAATCGTTTTTTCACTCGCGGTTTTTTCTTTTTGGCTCGCGCGACGGAATTAACCGAAAAGGAGGGACTCCTTTCCAGTCTCCTACTATCAGCTAACTTGAACTCGGGTAACTACAACTCCTAATTAACTCAATCTAATTTTTTTTTCTCTTGGCTCAAATGTCTCCTAATAATTCGAACTTTAAGTGAAAACGTCAGTCGATAAACGTCAAAGTGTCAGAACAAAGCTCATCGATATAACATTATGTACTCATGATTGATAAAAACGTGATAACATCTATGAAAATCTATTACATTTAGCTTAACTTTCCGAACTAAACGTTCCTATAAAAGAAGTTCTTTTAAAACATACCAAACGCACGAAAGTGACTATTGATTGTTCAAGAATGGTGAAAGCATGAGTCCTTATTTGTTGTTAACAGGGTAATATAAATTTAACACCAGCCCCGAATTTAATTTCTGCTGTATTGTTCGACGTGTTCGAAATGACTTGTAGTTAGAACTCCCTCGATTCACGAACAATCAACAGCAGCTATTTCCACGACACATGAAGGGCCAGCCGACTGACAAGTTATTAGATTTAGTGTATGAAAACAAAAAGGTTGATAACACTTAATGGAAAATACTGTATTAGGATGACAATCTTTGGTTATCTAATTTCTCGGGTTTGGTGAAGGGAAAAGTAGTTCAGTTTCGAATTGAAGTGCAGTTACGTTTCTGAATCAGGCTACAGCTCGTTAGTGGTAGTTGTAATTCGAGCATTTGACTTCTCTTCAATTCTTCATGAAAAATGTTCAACTCGGACAAGAAGGAACCACTCTACCTATGCGCAAACTACAACTCGTTCATGTACTAAGCGGTGAGTTACGTGATAATTAGATCTGCAACAGTGTCAGCGGTCTCAGTATCGACGCGCGATCGAGTCATCGCAGACACATGTCAATATCAAAGTCGGTAAAACGGATCAAAAACCAGCAATTTAAAGAAATTAAATATACCTATAGCCATATCTGAACGTGTGCACCTCAGTATATCAGAGTTTTAGAGCATGCATGCTCGTTCCCTTTAAAACAAACAAAAACGTTAAAAACATTTTTTAAAATAGTAAAAAAACAAGTGGTCTTCCTTTCTATTTTCGTTTATATCATGCGGATAATGTTGAAAACTGAGGTCAAATAATGATCTCAAAGTTGTAGGAATTTCGAGGGTTGTCCAATACCACGAATCGTTACGAGTCGTCTTGAAAGCACTTTCCGCATGGTAGGGCCACTTGTCGGTCCTTTTAATAATGAACGTATTACAATCGCGCAAAACGAATAATTAATGTGGAATGTTGATTTTTCAGTGTTTTCTCGTCGACTCCGGACTTACTTTCCTCTATCCCGGACTGGCTAGTTCTCTTTTCTACGGATTTTGGATTCGATGGAAAAAATAGTTGCGTTACTGTTATTTGTTAATTTGATAAAATTTAAAATGTTTATCCTTTTCTTTTCACAAAGTGGCATTTTCAATGGATATCCCATTCAATTAATCTTTTTCACCAGCACAGAATATTCCTGCTAGGCAACCGGTGTCAAAAGCCATACGACTTGCGAATACATTAGATAAATAATTAAATGACTGTTTATTAAGACTCATTGCAGCAATATACAGAATGGCTGAATTACAGAGCTATTTACAAAACATATAATACCAAAACATAATGCAATAAATCCAAGAAATACTAGAAATATAATTGTACAAGCCACTTATGCGTGACAAACTCTTGCGTGCGCGTGGTCCTACAGGTAGGACGCGTGGAAGTCGTGGAGCTGTACGACCATTACATTAGACAACTCGTAACGATCCGTGGTATTGGACATACTTTTAGTTGAGGACGAATAGAACCCACAATATGTTTTAATCTAAAAAACGACATCCAGTGTTTCTTCATTTTCTCTGTCTCTCAACAATCTACAGTTATAATTACTAAACTATGCGGGAGTTAATACGAAAACCAACTGGTTGATTTAGCTTCCCGACTCACACTGTAATTTCGTTTCTAATTTCCTCGTTAAATGTGTCGACTGGAAGAAAAGTTGTTTATAATTAATCAATTTCTCATGGAATGAGCTCCATATTAGATTATTGTCGCTGTACTAAAACAATTGGATAGTTTGTTATTCGCCAGAAGCTATGGCTATCACAGTGATGTTAATCGTATGGTGCCATTTTTACTTAGTATTTTACAGGAAACAGGGATCAGAATAGTATTGTCCATCATGGCCTCTACCCCAATATCAAAGCTTACATTATCAGAGTTCACCCATGGGGATGGTACAGACATATCTCCATGAGAGTGGAATTCTATGGATGCACAGAAGGTGAAAACTCACCATTATTTTTGTGATCTATACTATATAGGTTTTTTTTTTCGAATTAAAGTTATAGCACTTAAAGACTGGAAGAATGCAAGAATTGGTATCTTCATTTTCAGATGTTATGCACTTTTCACATTTACCTTGGCCCTAAAAATTCTCTATTCTAATGATATATTCGATAAGAACACAGGAAACAACAGTGATATTTTTATACAGTAAATGATTTTAACTCAGATGAAACATTTGATTGTGTTGTGTAATCCTGCGAATGAGCGTAGTCCTGGGAAGGAATGTTGTCAGTAGTATCAACTGATGTTTCGGCAATGTTAGCCCCAGACACTATCAGGGTCAAGTAAAGATTTGTTGAACAATCGAGAGATGCAATTCAGGTTCGTGAAAACTGATTGATCAGTTTATGAAACAACAGGATAGAAACAAGCTAATTATTATTCTTCTGAAAACTTTTCAGATCGTTGTGCTATGCCACTCGGTTTAGAAGACAAACGCGTGCTAAATGGTCATCTCACAGCTTCTACTTACTACAATCATCATCTGTCTCCTTGGCACGGCAGACTAAACAGCCGCTGGTCATGGAGTGTGCGAACCAGACGAGTAGGAGAATGGTTTCAAGTGAATTTTGTAGAGCTTATGCGCATAAAAGGCGTGGCCACTCAGGGAAGACAGGATGCTGCCCAGTGGGTGAGAGCATATTCAGTCCGTTACAGCCCAGATGGAATGAATTTTATACCCTACAAGGAAAACCGTGGTGTCAAGGTAGGTGACTTAACCTTCACACTCTAACAAAAGTATGCATGATGTCCATACCGTTCTCTTTATGTTTTTTACGGCACAATTATATGGAGAAATTTTGTTAATACCTGAAAACTACTAGCACTTAAGCAGTAAATTTACCAGTAAAAATGGTTATGTTAGGTTTGCATTCCGGTCATAGCGTTGTTCTCTCACTCAAGTGCGTCTCTGACTTCTGTTAACTTCCGGAAATCTTTTTGCAGATCTTCACCGCCAACACAGATCGGCACTCAATTGTCTTTCATCAATTCATGAGACCCTTCTCAGCCATTTATGTCCGCATATATCCTAAGAGTTGGTACAGCTGGATTTCCATGAGAGCAGAGTTTTATGGCTGTCCAGGTACACTAAGATTTGTAAACCTACCAAGTAAATGTTATGCTTCTGTTTGGTCATCGGACAGAATGCGGTGACATCATTGATTATTCAAAACTGATGAGGCGGCAAATTTGCAGGCGACGTCGCCCAATTTTATAGACGAATGGCTAAAATTGACACAATGGGCTTCGTAAAACTTGCTTTTATGAGTTCCAGAAGGGCAACGTTCAACTTTTAGGCATGGGTTTTTGGAATAAAAATGTTCCTTTGATTTGCTCCTAAAAGGGAGATTGCAAAGTAGAAGGACTATCCTTGTTTACAGGAAAATATTCAAATTTGGTCATTTTTGTTTGTTTCTATGTTTTTTGCTTCTGAAAGGAAGAATTCAATGGAAGAAATATTGGTTTATAGAAAATGTAGATATGGGTATTTGCTCAATTTTTCACCAGAAACTGTACGAAACTTACACGTTTTGGTCTGTCACAAAACACCTTGCGTGACACCTTAACGAGACTACGTATTCATTGCGAACTTTACTTGAGACAGTTCAGAAATGCATTTAAACTTAAGTTGTCTTCTTTTATTAGCATCTTTGTGTAACCGCGCCTTGGGAATGCAAAATGGTCGTATTCGAAACAACAAGATCACAGCATCATCAGAGATTAACCGTTTCCATACTGCCTGGCTTGGTAGACTGGGCCGAGTGAAGACTGGCCGTTATATTGGGGCCTGGTGTCCAAAACACAGGAATCATCTTCAGTGGTTGAAAGTGGACTTTGGTCGACTGATGAAAATAACCAAAATAGCCACACAAGGGAGGCAGGATGCTGGTCACTGGGTGACGTCATACTATGTGTCATCTAGCATAGACAGCGTTCATTGGGCAATGTATCGATTCAGAAGTTCTAATAAGGTAAGGTCACATCCTTTTTAAAGAACAAGTATATAATTTTCATCTTTGCTATGAAAAAGTGTATCTGAAGTTATGACGATTAGTTCTTTTAAAGTAACTTTACTGACGTAATTATGTTATGACTGGCTGCGCCTCTTGGTTTTACTTTACTAGTTTTGAGTATTTCTACGTCATTTCTGCGATCGATGAGAATATTGACACAGAAAGGTTCTGATAGGTACTGCTTTCGTTAATAGCTGTAGACCGATGGGTGTTGCGAGAGTTTCTGTCGTTATTTATAGATGTTATATGCCTGACTTTAACTTCTTATCTCAAACAGCTGTTCCAAGCCAATCGTGACCAAAACACCATCGTGATGAATGCAATTAATCCTTCCATAAGGTGTCGATTTTTACGTCTTAATCCTCGTGGATGGCATGGTTGGCCATGTTTGAGGGCAGAATTTTATGGTTGCCCAGTTGGTTAGTGATAAATTTGATTTTTTGTGTGTGTGCGTGTGGGTGCGTATGTATGAAAAGAGTTTTAATTTGCCTAATCATTCTAAGCAACATATGGCAATCTGCGGTCTTTCCTTGCACTTAGGT